ACAATAATATATCAGAAGGGTATTCAGGCAGGAGTGTTAGCTTGTGATGGAAACAGGGGAATTGTAAACATTTTATACTGCTCTATTCTTGCTAAGTTTAACATGAAAACACGATACAGATTTTTTTTTAATGTGGAGTGTGTTTAAAGGGAGATAATGTGCCCTGTATTATAGGGGAACAGCACCCAGAACATTCTTAGATTTGTGGCTTTGGCTGCAGTCTGTGGAGCCACCCAGCAAACCAGTTCCTGGCCTTTATTCAGGGCCATGAAGCAGTGGGGGCGACAGAGGCTCAGGCGCCTACAGAAAGAGGCTGGTTTGGTTGGTCTGACAGCTGCAGTGATTTATGAGAGTGCTTGTTAAGGGCCATCTGCTGCTGAGAGCTGCCAAATGAAAGGCACGGGGGAGGAGATCAAGGAATAAGGCGGGGGAGGGCTTGTGTAAGGCAGGTAAGGATCATCCTAATTACAGCTGTTAGAGTTGTGAGTTGGTATGGAACTGTAGAATAATGTGAAATGGCACAAGCAGCACAGGCTTTGGACTTGCACAGACCTGGCTCTACTACTTGTTAGGTGAGCTGCGTCCCTTCTTTTGAGCTTCCATTTCTTCATCTAAAAAATGGGTATAGTAGCCTTAGCTGGTTTGGCTCAGTGGATAGAGCATCAGCCTGCGTACTGAAGGGTCCCAGGTTCAATTCTGGTCAAGGGCACATGCTGGGTTGCAGCCCCAGTGGGGGATGTGCAGGAGGCAGTCGATCAATAATTCTCTCTCATCATTAATGTTTCTCTCTCTCCCTCTCCCTCTCCCTTCCTCTCTGAAATAAATAAAAATATTTTAAAAAATGAAATGAAATGGGTATAATAAACACTCTCTCCTCCTGCTATGTGAAATTGTATGAACATAAAAGTCCAAGCGGAGTTCCTGGTGCCTAGGAGAGCTCAGAAAGTGGTAGACATTGTTAATGTTTGTCCATGTGTTCATTCATTCGCTGATTCATCAGCATTAATTGTCCTTTGTGATTTCAAATAGAGCCTCCTTTTCAAATAGATTACTGAGGCAGCAATAGCTCATGTGATCAGAATGGAAGTATAAAGCAGTCAATATATATATATATATATATATATATATATATATATATAGCACCCAGGAGTGCAGTAGGTACCTCAAGTATGATTTAAAATACAGCCACCTGGCCAATAAATACAATAAAAGAGACACCACCTCACTCACTAGTAATTGGGGAAATTACAAAATAAGATCGAAATGAGATCTTCCTTCACACTCTCCAGATGTGTAAAAATTTTAAAGTCTGACAATATCAAGTGTTAAGGAGAATGTAGAGTGAGGGACCTCATATTCACTGCTAGTATGAGTTTGAACTGGCATGACTACTTTGGGAAATGATTTGTCAATATCTAGAAATTCGAAGATGTGCATATCCTATCTATTAACAAATTTGATTCTTAGGTATAACCAAAAGAGAATCTCCCACATGTAGTTAAGTTGATGTGTTTATAACTGCATTGTTTTAGCAAACAACCTTGTTGTCCATCTTAGTGGGAAACCTTAGTGTCCTACCTTAGTGGGTAATGGATCCATTCTTTAAGGAGCTAAAATTACATGTGGTACCAGCATAGGTGAATTTTAAATAATGGTGGGTGAAAAAATGAAGTTGCAAACAGAAAACTGTTTATATATGGCTTGAAATCATGAAGAACAATCCTATCTAATAAAAGAGAAACATGGTAATTAGCATACATCCGCTACCCTTCCCATTGGCTAATCAGCGAGATATGCAAATTAACTGCCAGCCAAGATGGCGGCCGGCAGCCAGGCAGCTTGAAACTAACATGAGGCTTGCTTGCTTCAGTGACGGAGGACTCCAACGTTCCCTGCCTGCCTTGCCCGCCTCTGAACTTGCAGTTTGAAACATTGTTACAAATATAGAAGCTAAACAAAACCCCAGAAACCTGCTTTCAGCCCTCCGGGATCTCAGAGATGGAGTTGATACAGTGTTTCGATAATAGAACCCAAACAAACCAGATACCTGCTTTCAGCAGCAGAGGCCTCAGAGCTGGAGCCAGAGCTAAAGCTGGCCCAGAATTTAAAATAAAAGAAAAAAAGGAGCAGTTGGGAGCTTCAGTCACCCACCAGCGTGAAAACAGCCCTCAGCCCCTCACCCAGACTGGCCAGGCACCCCAGTGGGGAACCCCACCCTGAAGGGTGTGTGACCAGCTGCAGCCAGCCATCATCCCCTCACCCAGGCTGGCCAGGCACCCCAGTGGGGACCCCCACCCTGATCCAGGACACCCTTCAGGGCAAACCAGCCAGCCCTCACCCGTGCACCAGGCCTCTATCCTATATAGTAAAAGGGTAATAATGCCTCCCAGCACCGGGATCAGCGTGACAGGGGGCAGCGCCCAAACCCCCTGATCGCCCTGCGGCTCTGTGTGTGACAGGGGGCGGGGCCACAACCTCCCTATCCGCCCTGCTCTGTTCGTGACAGGGGAAGGCGCCCCAACCCCCTGATCAGCCCTGCTCTGTGCCTGATAGGGGGGACCTCCCCAACCCCCTGATCGCCCTGTGGCTCTGTGTGTGACAGGGTGTGGCGCCTCAACCCCCCCACCCCCACCCCATGGGCCCTGCTCTGTGTGTGATGGGGTAGAGCCATAACCTCCCCATCGGCCCTGCCGTGAGTGTGACAGTGGTGGCGCCCCAACCCCCTGATCGGCCCTGCTCTGTGGGTGATAGAGGGTGGCACCCCAACCCCCTGATCCGCCCTGCTCTGTGCGTGACAGGGGGGAGCTCCCCAACCCCCTGATGGGCCCTGCTCTGTGTGTGACAGGGGGCAGCGCCCCAACTCCCCAATCAGCCCTGCTCTGAGCCCGACCAGGGGCTGCGCCTAGGGATTGGGCCTGCCCTCTGCCACCCGGGAGCAGGCCTAAGCCAGCAGGTCGTTATCTCCCGAGGGGTCCCAGACTGCGAGAGGCACAGGCCGGGCTGAGGGACCCCCCTCCTCCCCCCGAGTGCACAAATTTTTGTGCACCGGGCCTCTAGTCTATATATATAAAAGCCTAAGCAACTAAATGACTGATCGACCAAGCAATGGGTCAACTAGTCGCTATGACATGCACTGACTACCAGGGGGCAGACGCTCAATGCAGGAGCTTCCCCCTGGTGGTCAGTGTTCTCCCACAGTGGGAGTGCCACTCAGCTGACCAATGGGCACCAGAAGCAGGGCTCACAGCTAGTGAGCGCTGCTGTGGTGGTGTGAGCCTCTCTTGATGGGGACTGACTGGGTGCGAACCCGCGGCAGGCGCAGTGGGGCCAAGATGAGCGGGAGTGGCAGGCAGGAGTGGCAGGCAGTGGCAGACTGCTAGTTTCAGCCCATTCCCCCCAGGCCATGAGGAAGAACCCCACCAGTGCATCAATCCATGCACCGGGCCTCTAGTATTAATATATTGCAAATGTTACCCACATATGTAATAAAAGTCTAAAGAAATTATTTGGCCCTAGCTGGTTTGGTTCAGTGGGTAGAGCGTCAGCCTAAAGGGTCCCCAGTTCGATTATGGTCAAGGGCACATGCCCGGGTTGTGGGCTTGATCCCCGGTGTGAGGCGTGCAGGAGGCAGCCATCAATGATTTTCTCTCATCATTGATGTTTCTCTCTCTTGCTTCCTCTCTCTGAAGTCAATTAAAAAATTTTAAAAAAAGAAATTATTTGGAATGATAAATATTAAATCCAGGGTAGTATTAAGAGAAAAATGAGGGGATGTGGTTAGAAAGGTTGCCTAGAGCTCAAATCCCAGCTCTGCCAATTACTTACTAGCTGTATATCCTTAGACAAGTTTCTGATCTATAAAATGGAATAGTATTACCTACCTCATAGGTATACTGTAGATTAAATGAGTGAGTACAGGTAAAATACTTAGAATAATACCTAGCAGATAGTAAGTGCTACATAAGTTTTAGTGCATAATAGTAGTATAGCTAAAGTCTATTACCCCTATATATATTAGGAACTATGCTAATAGTTTTCTGTGCACTCATTTAACTGTTTCCTGTGAAGTAGGCATACCTGTGCTACCTAGTAGATAGAGGCCAGGGATGCTGCTAAACACCCTACAATGCACAGGGCAGTCCCCCTCCCTGGCAAAGAAGTATTTGACTCCAAATGTTGATAGTGCCAAGGCTGAGGAACTCTGAGCTATCTCCAAGGAGCCAGCAAGTACAGTTTTAAGAAGCTGGAAGGGAGGAGAACCTGAAATACTTGACAAATAACACTAATGACCATCATGCATCCTCAGGCCTAAAAGCTGTCAGAAAGGCCCTTCAGAAGGTATTTTCCATGATGAAAGTGAACTATTACTTTGAGGGATAGCCATGCGACGGCTCTTCCAACACAGCCAACTCCATCAAAAGGCAGAGGAGACCCCCCGGACTCACCTTGGCCATGTCTCTGAAGCAGCACTGTCTGAAAGACGTATAATGCTGGCCACATCTATAATTCCAAGTTTTCCAGTATCCACATTAAAAAAGTTAAAAGGAACAAATGAAATTAATTTACTAGTATAATCTATTTAATTTGATATATCCAAAATACTATCATTTCAACATGTAATCAGGGTAAAATACTGAGATCTTTTACACTTCCCCCTACCCGCCCCGCCCACCCCCCCCCCCACACACACACACACACTCTGTCTTTGAAATTTGGTGTGTGTTTTATGTTTGGACTAGCTACATTGCAAGTACTCAGGTGGCACATCTGACTAGTGCTTCCAGTTCTGGTTGTGCTGCTCTGGAAGGTTCTGTTCCTGGGACTTAGTGAAGACCGGCAGCACTGCTGTAACCCAGTCAGTGAGCTGAGAGCAGGATGTGACTTCCAGGAATGCCTGCCCCAGACTGCCGAAGGTGGTCTGCATATGTTTCAGGATCAAAGAGGGGTTGGTTTTCTGTGTGGCCTGTGCCATCAGCTCCTTTTCTGTTTCTCATTGGCAGGTGCCTCGTCCCCAGACATGGAGCCCAGCTATGGGGGAGGCCTCTTTGACATGGTGAAAGGAGGTGCAGGCAGGCTCTTCAGTAACCTAAAGGACAACCTGAAAGACACCCTCAAAGACACATCTTCCAGAGTTATACAATCTGTTACCAGGTATGTGTGTTCTTCCTGGTTGAGTTAATGGACCTTCGTGGCTCCAAAGGATCTGGTTACCTGTCAACTACTTGTCTGGCTCAAAGACTGGCAATTTTGTGATGTAATTTCATGGGCTCTGATTGAGCAGTGTCACCAAAGCCATAAAGTGGCTACAATCACAGGCCGGGAGGCCTCAGCTCACTGGTACATGAGAGCGCAGTGGGTTGTCATCCCTGGCCTTCGAACCCAGCATCCTGAGTTCTAGTGCATTATCTGCTCTTGTTAACCATGTGACCTAAAGCAACTTCATTAACCTCTCTGAGCTCTACTTTTATACCCTGGTAGGATTTGTGCCTTTGGGTGTCTGAGAATTAAATGAGGTAATCATGTCTATACAATCTGAATAAACAATACTCATGTATTGCAATCAAAACAGAATTTTGTTTTTGTATCTTAATAGCCCTTTAGAATTTATTTGCTGGGAGAAGTTTTCTATTCTTTCACTGCATGAAAATTCTACAAGCAGACATATGAATTTTTTTTTTAATTCTTAGTTATTAGAAAGTTTTAGGGTCACTTTAAGTTACAGTGTGCAGTTTTAAATCAGAAATTCAAATGTCAAGTCCAGTCTTGGCCAGTTTGGCTCAGTGGATAGAGCATCAGCCTGTGGACTGAAGGGTCCTGGGTTCGATTCCATACCCTGGTTGCAGGCTCGATCCCTGGCCCCAGGGCACGTGCGGGAGGCAACCGAGCGATTGATGTTACTCTCTCTCTGTCTCTCTCTCTCCTGTCCACTCTCTCTAAAAATCAATGGAAAAATATCAGATGAAGATTAACAGAAATTCAGATATTAAGTCCAATATACTGATCAACATTTTAATTTTTATTCAAAGGTAAAACTTACCCTTCCCTCCAATCCTCAGCCAGGGCCTGGTAGGCAGAAAAAGGATGTCCTTTATTCTTTCTCCATCACTTCCTTCCCTGACACCTATGGGTGATATTTCCCTGTAGGCAGAGAGCCTGGAACAATGCTTGTTAATAAATAAGCACTGTTTTCTGAGTGGATTCTGTTCATAAAGTGGCATCTGTTTGTAAAGACTCTGGGGGTGCACAGGTTGGAGCAGTACATTTAAGCTACTGAGGGTGTGGGCTGCCTTCTCTTAACAAGGCTCCCTTGTTGGAGAGAAGGCTTGAGGGAAGTCAGAATAGGGAAGTGTCCCCGGTGATGATGCGAAAGTGATTGAGAGAGAGCAGCCGTGGCATCTGAGGATCATTTTAATGAGTGCCCTTCCTTGTCTTGCTTTTAGCTACACGAAGGGAGATTTAGACTTCACTTATGTTACCTCCAGAATTATTGGTAAGTTTCTCATGTGTCTTTACTGCTCAGACTCAGCTTTCAATTGCTGCTCATCACCACAACCGAGCTGTCTAACCTGCCTTCTTTCTGTGTGACCCTCCAGTGATGTCCTTTCCTCTGGACAACGTTGACATAGGATTCAGGAATCAGGTGGATGACATTCGGAGCTTTTTGGATTCCAGACATCTTGACCACTACACGGTGTACAATCTGTCGCCCAAGTCCTATCGAACTGCCAAGTTTCACAGCAGGGTAAGGAAGTTTCGCTCTGGGATCGCAGGGTTGAAGACATCACAGGGTATTTCTCCTCTTAAGAGCTATCCTCACAGCCTTTGCCCTGTGGCACATGAAGCTGAAAAACGATACACTGTGCACATTTCTAGCCACAAAATATTTATTAGGCTTTAATGATATATTCTGAAAAATCTTTTTTTGAGTGAAGATATTTGTTTGTCGATGAAATACCATCTAAGTTGGGGCCTCACACCAGTTGTGGTTGTTGCTCAATTGTTAGGGTGCATTGCTGTGAGGCTCAGTTGGAGCTTGAACTGCTACATAAAGCATTTGGCTAACTTTATACTACAACACTCATCATGCCTTTACCTGTCCTTATTGCTACCTGGGCATCGCGATGAGACAGAGTAGCTAGACCAGTATAGACATACTAGTATTAATGGGAATAGCCTGCTGACATTCAGTAAAATTGCTTCTTTCAGAAGTGAAGAAAGCACATAAATAGGCTACATTGTAGGTTTGGTAATCCTATTACTAATATTAATAGTAGTGAGTGCAGCAGCCAACACTTACAGAGTATGTACACCGCGCTGGGGACTTGACATGCAGTATCTCATTACATTCTCTTAGCAGCCCTCTGAAGTAGATGGAGAAACAGAGGCACAAAGCGGTAAGGTAGCTTGCCCAAGACCACACCGTTAGGACTGACACTATTACCTGGGAAAGCTGGATTGTCTTCTAAAGGAGCTTTTGCAAATAGGCTGAGAAATATTCCTCGTTCAGGAGCTATGAGAGCTGGCTTGGGTTTGAATCTAATATCAAGCCTGGTGTTCCTGGTCGCTGAATTCTTTTTGTTTTAAATTACATTTATTGGGATAACATTATAACTTTACATAAGTTTCAAGTGTACAATCCTGGAGTACATCATCTGTATATTGCGTTGTGTGTGCACCACCCAAAGTCTAGTCTCCCTCTGTCCCTGAATTCTTGATTTACTCACCAAGATAAGGCCTTTTCTCTCTCAAGAACATCTTCAGATATTTTGACTTAGCCTTTAGATATGATTGTTTCTGCAACTCCATTTGGGTCTCGTAATAAATAGGAAGGGTTTTCTATACATTGGACCCTTTAAAACTGAAACTTGACTTCTCGTATTGAAGATGGTAGCTGATGGTCTATGCTGTGTATCTAGCACCTCAGCTTTGATGCCAGAACATGTTATGCTCCAAATCTCAGTTGCCATTGATCATGTCTGGGCCTCCGTTTCCAGATCTGAGGTTGATCTGCATGTTTTCTAAGATTCCTGTCCCAATGTGCAATATGAAAAGGGAGAGTTTTGTTAAGGACTCTGTCTTCTCAGAGTGTTCCCCAAACAGCAAGAGGTAACCCAGAGGTTCTCAAACTTTAGTGTACATCAGTCACCTGGAGGGCTTGGTAAACACGCAGGCCCAGCACTGCAGATTCAGCAGGACAGAGGTGCAGCGAGATTCTGCATCGTTAACAACTTCCTGGTGCTACTCCTCTGTTGCCATGGGGACCACTCTGAGAAGCGCTAATGAAGCCACTCTGAAGTGGTTTGTTCTAAACTGGCATTCTCTAATGGAGAGTTTAAGTGCAGCTCCTTCAAATTCTCTATACTTAACTGCCCTTCCAACTCTTATTCCATCTCTTACCTAATGCAGAGCAAGTGATGTCAAACAAGATGCGGGTAGATATTCTGTTTCTAACTCAGATGCAAATCTTTTGAATTGATTTTTTTTTCTTGTTTGGAGACAAAGTCAGTGCCATCATTTTTAAAACAAAGGGGCTATGGAACATCCTGCACAATATTTCATAGAAATTTTATTTGATCTGAAAAGATTTGTGATAGTCTGGAATATTTTCCTTCCGAAAGTAAATAAAAATATAATACCATTATAGAAGCATTCATTCATATGAAGATGTCTCTTTGGGTAGTATTTATAAAAGCAGTCAAGATAAAGATATTTAAAGAAAGCTATCTATTAGCGTAACTATGTATTTTGTGACCAATCTCAACAATCTTACCAAAGGAACCAGGAATTAATTACACATTGACTTAAAACTGCCACAGGCTGCTAGCCCTCACTTGCCTTAAAAGGGCAAGAAGCATGTTTATTTGATTTGATACCTAGAATAGTGCCTGGAATGGCTAAACATTTCTCAGACAAATGAATGTGTCAAGGACTGTTAAACACATAGATATAAAATAAATATTTGGTTCTTGTTCCCAAGGCACCTAAGCCTAGTTTGAGAGAGAATCCAAGACATTCTAAAGACAACTGCAAATAATATGTACAGTACCTACTGAGGGAGATTAGCAAAGGGAGATAGGAGTGAGAGCTGGACCTTGAAGCATGAGTAAGTCTTGTATAGGTGAAAGGTGTGGTGGTATTTCTATTTTTTAAAATATATTTTTATTGATTTCAGAAAGGAAGAGAGAGATAGAAACATCAATGATCAGAGAGAATCATTGATCAGCTTCCTCTTGCATGCCCCCTACTGGGGGTCAAGCCTGCAACCCAGGCGTGTGCCCTTTACCGGAATCGAACCTGGGACCCTTCAGTCCACAGGCCAACGCTCTATCCACTAAGCCAAACCAGCTAGGGCTGGTGTTATTTCTTTTCCATGCAAATTGTAGAATGTGTCTTACAAGGTTCTTCATGATCTGGCCTCTGCCTGCCTCTCTGGCTTCATCTTTCACTGTTCTTATGCCCAGAACACCCAGGCTCCAACCAGGGAACACACACACCGTCTCTGCATGAGCTGCTCTCTCTCCCTAAAACGCCATCCATTGTCACAACACCCTCACCCCTTCCTTGTTTACCTAACTTCACTAAGGGGAGGATTTCCACAAAGTTTTCCCAATCCTTTCTCCCTAAAACACAGGAATGCATGACACCTTAGCCCTTTGCAGATAGTCCCAGAACTCTGCTGAATACATCTAGAGACCCTCTGGCGAAGCTCCTGCAAGCCTCAGGGAGATAGTCCCAAAACCTGGGTCTATTCATCTTAGCTCTGTTTCTGATGTGGCTTTTTTTCAGGCTCCTAGTTCTTTCTCTCCTCGGTACTAACACTATGCATTGGTTTGCATCTCATTGTTGCATTAATTGGAAAAGTTCTCTTACTTCTCATCTTCCAGTCCATGAAGACCGAAACCATTTCCTCCTCCTTTCAGATCAGTGGAGGGCTAGGCCTGCAGTTAAATATTATTTTAATAAGTGTATATGGCAGAGTGTTCCATAAATAGCCAGTGTTGGAAAAGAGTAAATAGAAGACTAGTTTTATTTATAGACTCACAGGAGTCCTGCTCTGTCTTTATTGCTGAACTCAGTTACTTTACATTTGTAGTATGTGATATGTGCTTGGGGATACGGGTAGTGGTGGCAAAGACAAGCTGTTTCTATGCTCTTGTCAATAAATGGAAAGTGGGATGAATGGCCACCAAACCTAGCCTGGCTCTAAAGTTCTAATGTCTGACTAAGGCATTTCAGTGCCTCTTTGAGCTTCCTTCTCCCTCTGCAGGAAGGAAGGTGTGCTGTTGGTAGCATAGAAAAAAGAACCCCATTGGCTCGCTGGTGTGCTCAGTAGTTGAGCGTCCACCCATGAACCAGGAGGTTATGGTTCGATTCCCTATCAGGGCACATGCCTGGTTGTGGGCTTGATCCCCAGGAAGGGGGGTGGGGGGGAGCATTGTAGGAGGCAGCCAATCAGTGATTCTCTCTCATCATTGATGTTTCTACTTCTCTCTTCCTCTATGAAATCAATTTTTTTTTTTAAAAAGAACCCCAGCTGATTCTTTTAGACTCTCCCTTCATGTTGACTTTTTCCAAACCTCGTGTTCTTGTAGGATTTCTTCCCTTTGGGGAATGACTTGATTTTTTGAAAATATATTAACAACTTGGGCTTCTTTAAGAAGTCATGATTGTTTGCAGGTGAGCCCCCTTTTCCCCTTTTTCATCCAGAGTTCACATAAGTTCCCCAGTGTTTCTGCTTTGGTTTGCTGGTTGGTGAAGGGGGTCAGCCATAGAGCAGTGATGCCTCATCTTTCCCGCTGCCGCCATGCCTCAGTGCAAGGATGGGGAGTAAAGGGGCCCAGGAGCCAGAGGGCTGTGGATCCCCACATCGTAGCTCTGTCAACTTCGGTGACTTGAATGTCTTAACCCTAGTAAAATGTGGCCATTACATGAAACCCCACAAATGTATGATGGGATTGTAGTAAATATTCGTTAGACAGTGTGGTATAATAGAAAGCTCCCAAATTTACTGTTTTTATAACATACACAATTTAAATATCCTTAGGTTCCTATCTCAACTGTTCCTCTTCCTGGGCAAGTTACTTTACCGCACTTGAGACTCAGTGTTCTCCTCTGTAAAATGGGGATGACAATAAGAATACCTGGCTCACTAATATTTAGGCCATTTTCTCTAGGTTTGCTTAACACGTTGCGTACCGCATAGACATCTCTAAGACATACGCCAGGGACCGCACGTTTTGGGGCAAACTGCACGTTATTTAAATCATAATGCACTTTAGGTGTTGTTTTTCAATAATTATAACATTTTTATTTACAAAAACAATTAAACAATTAAAGTTCCTAGTACTTTTTTAACGTATGGTACTGCGTAAAACATTTTCCTCTATGAAGAGGGACCAAACAAAATTTACATAAGTATCTAGATTCGCTCCTTTTTCCATGGGCGTGAAAAACGAGAGCACTCGTGAGCGGTCCGTAACAGATGGCGCGCGAAACACGAGAAAACTCCTGAGCGGCACGAAATGTGTTAAGAAGGAGATCTGACAGCAGTGCCTGCCGTAGAGTAAGCATTCAGTAAGTGGTAGCCGTGATGAGCACGGATGATAATAAAATGCCACAATAAATGATTGACTGAAGTACCCTTGTCCTCCAAAAATGGTTTCAGATTCTGAAAACACTTGATATGGCTCTTCTGTCTGATTTTCCATAGCACCTTTTGCTCTAAATGCTCAGCAGGTTGGATGCTTGTGCCGTCTTATCTTGTGCTTGGGGCGACAGACAGATGAACATTGAATGGCATCCAGCCCGGGTTCTGTTTTGGCCTCTTTCCCCACTGGGTGACATCATGGCAGCCTTGTAATCCATATGGCGTGTTCTGTGCCCTGCAGCTCCGGGAGGTGCTCAAAGGGACTGGAGATGGCACAGTGAAGTGTCACCTGCCCTAAGACAGTGGTGCTCACGGCAGGCATGAAGCTGTGAATCCGAGAGAGAGAGAGAGAGAGAGAGAGAGAGAGAGAGAGAGAGAGAGAGAGAGAGAGAGAGAGAGAGAGATGGGGGGGGGGGGGAAGAGAAAGGAAAATAGCTTGTAGTGACTGAATTCCTTTTTAGAATGTTTAGGGTTTGTTTATGCCTTAATGATTTTTCCCCTTTAGACAGAGCACACGCTTTAAAAAATTCTAATTGTATGTTTGCCTAATGATGCACAATTATATATCAAGTAAATATGTAATTATAGAGCACTTTAAATTAATATTATTTACTTGATTGATTTAATTGTTCTGGAGCTGTTAGTCTATTGTGCTAAGAACAATTTGGTAACTTTTGGCTGAGACTCATTATAGATAGTAACAGTGTTTGTGTGGGTGACATACAGTTTCTAAAAGGTTTAAAAGTATTATCTGGGAGTCCTAGCAAACCAAACAGATTGCTCCTACTTCCCTTGCTCCACTGTTAAATATTAGGAGTTTGAAACATTTGGGTTTTCTTAGGCCAGTGGTGTTCGTGTTGTAGAGCACTTTCTGATAACAGCATCCACACAAAACCTGCTCTTTCTTCAGAATTCCCTGCATCAGCAAATGGCACCTGCTTCCATTCTTTTATCCAGCCATTCACGCTGGAAGCCTGGAGTCATCCCTGACTCTCCCATCTCTCTTTTAAATACACCCCTCCTCACTCATGCACCGCCACCATGGGATCCATCACCTGCTCTCATGTATAGGTATTCCACTTCCTCTTTACTCCTTAATCCCTCAAGTTTTTTGCACCCCGCTGCTACGCGTCTAGGCCTAAGCCCCCACCATCCCTTCCTTAGACTTCTCAGCAGCCTCCTCACTGATCTCTCTGACTACTCTCATGTCATTCATATCCATTACTAATACTGGATCTTTTTTTAAAAAATATATATATTATTGATTTTTCACAAAAAGGAAGAGAGAGGGATAGAGAGTTAGAAACATCGATGAGAGAGAAACATCGATCAGCTGCCTCCTGCACACCCCCTACTGGGGATGTGCCCGCAACCACGGCACATGCCCTTGGTCGGAATCGAACCTGGGACCTTTCAGTCCACAGGCCGACGCTCTATCCACTGAGCCAAACCGGTCAGGGCCTAATACTGGATCTTGAGGGTTCTTTGGAAAAATGCAGATCTGAGCATCACTCTCTTACTTTACCCAGCTCCTAACAAGGCCTGCCCCCCTTCAGTTTACACTCTCACCATACAGGTTTTCATTCATTTTTTCCCAAAACACATTTTTGGCTTTGTCTGACCTCAGGGCTTTGAACTGGCAGTTACCGGATACAATAATAGTAATAGCTATATTTATTGATCATGTTGTGTGTGTCATATGCTGAGCTAAGCCCTTGAAATACATTCTCATGTAGTACCCACAATCCTGTCAGATAGGTAGGTAGGTACCATTTACCACATTTCACAAAGAAACGCTTAAAGAGATCACATGCCAAAACCGGTTTGGCTCAGTGGATAGAGCGTCGGCCTGCGGACTGAAGGGTCCCGGGTTCGATTCCGGTCAAGGGCATGTACCTGGGTTGCAGGCACATCCCCAGTAGGAGATGTGCAGGAGGCAGCTGATCGATGTTTCTCTCTCATCGATGTTTCTGACTCTCTATCCCTCTCCCTTCCTCTCTGTAAAAAATCAATAAAATATATATAAAAAAAAAATAAAGAGATCACAAAGGTTGCCCAAGTCTAAGCTTCTCTTTATTATTTATTGAATTAGTGAATATCTAATCAGTTGAAGCCGATGTCTAGTATTTTGAGGGAAACAATAATCTCAACCAGTGTACTGCAGCAGTACAATGATTTATAGTCAGAAAACCAAGTTGCAGTGCTGGCACTGACCAGCAGCGTGATTTTAGACAAGACAACCTCTGAGAGTGAGTCTTCTCATCTGCAAAATGGGGATCATATCAATACCTCTCTTAAATGGTTGCTGATTAGATTAGAATAGAGCCAAGCAGAACACAGTCGGGGCTCTATGACTGTTTCAATTACCATTGACATGCAATAGGACATGTTAAATGAATATGTGTGTTAGATGAATAAAATGATGGAGGTTGGCCCCATGGTGTTGTGAGTCCCTTCATTAAGAGAGGAAGAAATAAGAGCCCTCAACAAGGTTTGGCTCACTTTCATGTGCTCATGAGAGCTGGTATAAAATTAGGAACAGTGCAGGATTTATAAGATAAACCTATAATTAAACATCTACTAGGCAGGTAAAAACATTTTATACTTAACAGACATTAAATTTAGAGCTTTGTGCAGTGGGTAGTATTATAGCCAATGAGGTATATCTGAGGCATAATTATTGTTAATTGAAATAAAAATTTGGGTAACCTTACAGAATAAAAATAAAATCCAAATATATAGTTTAAGTGATCTCGCTGAATTTAAAATGTATTTAAAAATGTGTTTTCATACCCTTATAGAAAGAGAATTTTTTAATGAAAAAATTGCTGGATTAAGTAACTTTTCTTCCATTCTCAGTTGTTCCTGAGGCTAGAGTATCACTCCCAGAAGCAGTTGTTTGGCGTCCTGTGGAGAGGAAGTCACTAAGGGAATTCATTTCCTTTTACTGTGTTCCCTTAGGTTTCAGAATGCAGTTGGCCCATTAGGCAAGCCCCCAGTCTGCACAACCTCTTTGCTGTGTGTCGGAACATGTATAACTGGCTACTGCAGAACCCCAAAAACGTCTGTGTTGTCCACTGCTTGGTGAGTAACCTTTATTGTTGTCATTGTCTGCAGTTATTTGGTATAGTTCGGTCAAATACAGCTTGCCCTATGCAGACTGATGAGCAGGTAACATTTAAGTTGAATTATCATTTATTGAGATCCTACTTAGGGATTTGGTGATCTGAGGTATATGAAAATGTGGAATGACCTTACTATTCTTGCCTTAAAATTTGAGTATTAGTGGGAGAGGCAGACATGTACACAGCCCGCCTCATTTAGAGCCTCTAGAATGTGCTAAGTATTACAAAAGAGGTAGAAGCAAGAGCTGTGGGTGCACAGGTAACAATGTCATTGACCTTGTGTGAGTAAATTTGCCATAAGCACAATGGAATATTTATTTTTTCTTACTTTTAAAACATAATTTAAGAAATTTTTTCAATTACAGTTGACATGCAATATTATTTTAGTTTCAGATGTGGGACATAGTGATTAGAGATTTATATAACTTACGTAGTGATCACCCTGAGAGGTCTAATACCCATCTGACACCATACATAGTCATTGCAATATTATTGACTGTATTTCTTGTGCTTTCCTTACTTTTTGTGTTTGAATAAAAATGAAATAAAATGACACCTATGCTCTTGTTGTAAGTAGTCACAGAAAATATTGACTGTGTTTTACAGCACTTCCCAGTGGGACTGATGTCTTTGCTGACTACTGACTTTATACAGTCCATTTTTCTAACCCTTTTTTTCCAGAGGCCTCTTACCTATTGTTTAAAACTCAACTTCCAATAAAGTCATTTTGAGTATTTTCACAATATGGACATTTCCCCTATATCTCTAAGTGCTTCTGTGGCAGTTCATGCATTGCATCATCGTATTGGTGAACTCCCACTTGACCATGAGTACCTTACAGGCAAGAACTGTGTCTTTCTTTGCACCCTAAATATAAAGGATTTTGAATAAATGGCTGACAATATAAGCAAATGAACACACAAATGGAATCTGAGCATAAATATTGGAAATATTCATTGCTTCTATAAACTTCAGGGTCTATATATTTTTACTATGATTTTACTTAGTGATTCTCCCTTTTATTCTTGAAAGCCAATTGGCTAAGAGGGAAAAAAGCAGAATATTTCTGCTTCAAATACTTAACTTTTAATATAAAAACTAGTATAATTTTTTAAAAGACCAGCATGGCAAATAAAAAGAGGGACCCATATCTAAGCACCTAGAGCATATGAAAAGAGTGTCTGGAGAACTAAATCTTAAAAAGAATTAAGATTGAGAAAAGTGTATTTTTTAAAGAAATATGTCCTTGGAATAAGGACAACAATAAAGGCTTGAGGCACATGGTACCATCTTATCTTAACTCCTTTATGCTGTTCCTTTATCAGCGAACAAATGTCAAGCAAGAAAGGGTGTAGCAGTAATTAAGACAAAGCTGATAGGTAGTGAGATAGTAAAAGAGCTTCACAATACTGAACAATATCCACTCTCTAGACTTCAATTATGGGACAGAATGCCGACAGCACAGGGAAAGCAATTATGGATCCGTTATGTAATATGAGGAAACTAGAAGAAGAGGTGCCAGGCAAGCAAGGAGAGATTGCTTCTAAAATACAGCGGAGGTTAATCCTGGAAAGTCACATCTGGTGAGGCTGATGGCAATTCAGGCAAAATTTTCATATAAATTTTTGCACACATATTTTTTGCACAGATGATTTTTAACTCTTAGAAAAACACCAAAAAGTTATTCATTATGAACACACATATCAAACCACCTGAATATTTTTCAAAAAGACTAATACATTAGTAGAGATAGTTTATTGGATTTCTGCAAGATATTGACCAGTTTCTTGTAATCAAGGTGGAGAAACTTGGACAAGGCTGTTACACATTTAGTGAAATCATGGTTGAATATCTGCTTTCAAAGGTAGATGGCTAGTGGATCTGCAGCTTCCCAAGGTTGCATTTGGTTGCCCTTTTAATTAACTTTTATTGGTTTCAGAGAGGAAAGGAGAGGGAGAGAGAGATAGAAATATCAATGATGAGAGAGAACCATTGATCGGCTGCCTCCTGCACGCCCCACACTGGGGATCGAGCCTGCAACCCGGGCATGGGTCCTGGCTGGGAATCAAACCAGGGACCCCTAAGTTCATAGGTGGATGTTCAACCACTGAGCCACATCTTCCAGGCTTAATTAACATTCTTTATGGCAATATAGAGATCAACCTTATCAATTTTCTCAGAATGGGAGATTCACATAATGAATCTGGATTTAAAAAGTTTTTGGAGATTGGTCATTTAACAAACTATGTGAAGTTAAACACAGGATAAATGTTGTATTTTTAAAAAATATATACTTGTATTTATTTCAGAGAGTAAGGGAGAGGAAGAGAGAGATAGAAATATCAATGATGAGAGAGAATCATTGATCAGCTGCCTCCTGCACGCCCCCTACTGGGGATATAGCATTCACAACCCATAGCCCTAGCCAATTTGGCTCAGTGGATAGAACATGGGCCTGCTGACTGAAGGATCCTGGGTTCAATTTCGGTCAAGGGCCAGGTTGCAGGTTCGATCCCCAGTCGGGGCTTGCAGGAGGCAGCCAATCAATGATTCTCTGTCATCATTGATGTTTCTTTCTCACTCTCTCTTCCTCTCTGAAATCAATAAAAATATATTTTAAAAAGAAAAAGAAAAAAGTGCCAATTAAAAGGAAATATCTTTAAAAAATAAAATATGAAACATATTTGTCTGTTAAAACAAATTAAAAAGAACTAGTGGTTTTAGTAGATAGAAAGTTCAATCAGAGTTTATGGTATGACTTAGCCTGCATTTAAACTAGCTTGGCCTGGGGTTATGTTAATAAAAACATAGTATCTGAACTAAGGAAGATGATGTTTTCTCTATAGTTTGCTTAGAACACATGTCATAGTATGCATTTCACATCTGGGCAGCACACTTAAGGTTGTTTTAAACCATGAACAGAGACAATAGAGTGAAGGCCTGGGGTGGAGGGGTAGGGGCTGGGTGGAAGGAGGTAAAGGGGGGTGGGATGGGGGACATATGTAGTACTGTCAACAACAACAATACACACACACACACACACACACACACACACACACACACTGGAGTCTTGTTCAGAGGAAGTACACCAAATAATGATGTCTCTTTAAATGGAATATCAGCCTGGCTGGTGTGGCTCAGTGATTGAGCGTTGACCTATGAACCAGGAGGTCACAGTTTGATTCTCTGTCAGGGCACATGCCTGGATTTCATGCTTGATCCCTAGTGTGGGGTGTGCAGGAGGTAACCAATCAATGATTCTTTCTCATCATTGATGTTTCTCTCTCTCCTCTCCTCTCCCTCTCTGAAATCAATGAAAATATATGTTTAAATGGAATATCAAATGAGGAAGAATTGAAGAGATTGTGTAGTAGTGTTCTCCAGGGAAACAGAACCAATGGGATGGATGGATATATATGTATATCTATATATATAGAGATATAGATATAGATATAGATATATACACATACATATACATATATATACACATACATATATACATATACATATATATGGTATATATATATATGGAGAAAGAGAAATACATACATGAAATTTATTATAGGAATTGGCTCGTGTGGTTATGAAGGCCAAGAAGCCCCACAGTCTGCAAGCTGGAGAAGCAGGAAGGCCAATGGTATCATTAGTCTGTGTCTGAAGGCCTCATAACTAAGGTGGCTGCTGGTGTAAGTCCAGGAGTCTGAAGCTCCCCAAACCAGAAGCTTCGATGCCTGAGGCCAGGGGAAGATGGAGGTCCCAACTCAAAAAGAGAGAGAATTTGCCCTTCCTTCACTTTTTGTTCTGTTGGGCCCTCAACAGATTGGATGATGACCCCTCCCTTTTGATGAGGGCAGATCTCTTTCCTGAGTCTATTGATTCAAGTGCTGACCTCTTCCAGGAACACTCTCATAGACACACCCAGAAATAATGTTTTTCTAGCTTTCTGGGCTCCCTTAGCCTGGCCAAATTGACACATAAAATGAACCATCACAGACTGGGTGTGATGGGAAATAGAAGTGTTGATGGAAAGGGAGGGTATTTCAGATACGTGAAGACTGTCATGGGGGAAAGAGGTCAGCTGACTTTTGATCTCAGAAGGAAGAATGAGGATCATCGAGTGGCATAGACTTCAACTCAGCATATTCAGTATAAGGAAAAACTTTGTAAACTGCACTGGCCTACTTCAACTTGCAGGAAGCTACCTGTCACTTATAGTGTTCCAGGTTGAAAATGTTGGCCACCATCTGTCAAGAATATTAGTGTATATAGGGTGTCCCCCCCAAAAAAAGTATACACACTTTGAATAATTATAAAGGCAGTGTTTATTAAAATACATTTTCAAAATTGAGCCATCAGCTGTTACAGTGTGTATATATTTTTGGGGGACACCGTGTGCATTCCTCCATCAAATGAAGGTGAATCAGGTGAAGCTTCTTTTATATGATTTTACTAGAGGCCCGATGCACAAAAATTCGTGCAAGAGTAGGCCTTCCTTCCCCCAGTTGCTGTCACCGGCTTCCCTCTGGTACCCAGAACCCGGACTGCTTCCTTCCTCCAGCTTCCCGCAGGCACCCAGGACCCTGCTGGCTTCCCTTTGACCCCAGCTTCGTCAGGAAGGATGTCTGGAAGATGTCTGGTCTAATTAGTATATTACCCTTTTATTTATTATAGATAAGAATCTAGGAATACATATTGTCCCAAAAAATGTAAACACACTTAACAGCAGATAGTTCAATTGATGTTTCTTTCTTTTCAGATTTAACCCATTGGAATGAATAATTATTCAAAGTGTGTATGCATTTTTTTTTGAGACCCTGTGCATAGCATATTCCAAAATGCAGTATTACCTAATCTGTGAACTGTACCTCCAGCCCTAAACCAAAAGACCTCAACTGTTAGTTCTAACGCCACAAGTCTAAAGTTACTTTGAAGATCAGATTATTTTCCAGTAAATATATGCAAATCAAATTTATATTGCTGGCTTTCTCAGGTTAGTAGAGAGCCAGTTTTATCCTGAGAATAAGTCTCTCGTTTCAGCTTTGAGATTTAAGTAGCTAGGACTGAGTTTGCTTTTCAAGTAAACAATTTTGAACTGACTGGCATGCCTAGTTAAAAGGGTTTCTCTCCTCTCTCCCTCCCCACACCCCAACTCTTCTTTCTTTTAATTTTTTAAAAAATATGTTTTTATTGATTTTTTAGAGAGGAAGGGAGAAGGGAGAGAGAGAGAGAAAGAAACATCAATGTGAGAGAAACATCAATCAGCTGCCTCCTGCACGTTCCCCACCAGGGATCAAGCTCCCAACCCTGGGATGTGTCCTGACCCATAATCGAACCAGCAACCTCTTGGTGCATGGGTTGATGCTCAACCACTGAGCCACACTGGCCTGGCCCAACTCCTCTCTTTTAATGGCAAGTACAGCCAGTCTCAGTGGTGAGTGGCTGATTCGACCATGTTTATGACAAGTTTATGCATTTTCTTTGGCAGGATGGACGGGCAGCATCGTCAATTCTGGTTGGTGCTATGTTCATTTTCTGTAATCTCTACTCGACTCCTGGCCCAGCTGTTCGATTGTTATATGCAAAGCGACCAGGAATCGGACTCTCGCCATCCCACAGGAGGTAAAGTAAGCTTAGATGTAGGGTAGGCGCAGACATAATCGAATTGGTGTCATGTACTTTAAAAAAACACACGCAAAAAAAACCTGTTTAAATAATTGACTTATCTTCTCTTTAGTCACAGTTTCATCCTTTCTTTTATTTAAATTGCATCTCCTCACCTTTCTTTTGGATCAAAAGTGCTTCTGATGATAAAATTCTACAGATTTTTCAATGCCAGCCTTTAACTGATAAATCTAATCTGCTAGGTCAAATAGGAATAGATGTTCAAATATTGAGCCAGTATCAAGCTCCCATAACCTTTTGCATTTAATAAATACCCCTTCATCACTTCTCTGGGGGAAGTACAGCAGTGTCACTAGATAAAAGCTTTCCTACATTATTGGTTGCATTCTCTTTAGCTACTTATGTTAAAGAAATGAGAATAGTAAATTTTTATTATAAGTTAGTAATTTGCAAAAACAAACATCTTAGCAAAGATCAATGGTTTCTTTCTTCTGGTGTGGTGGGCACCAACAGAATGTAAATCTTCTGTTTTAGATACCTGGGCTACATGTGTGACCTCCTAGCGGACAAACCCTACCAGCCTCACTTCAAGTCTCTCACGATTAAGTCGATCACTGTCAGTCCAGTCCCCTTTTTTAACAAACAGAGAAATGGATGTCGCCCATACTGTGATGTGCTGATTGGAGAAACCAAAATATATACAACCTGCACAGATTTTGAACGGATGAAGTAAGTCATAATATTTCAATTCTTGTGAACTGCTCTATTCTTCTGTATATTGGATCATATTCTGCGGGTGAGGACTATGTCATTCTGAAATGACCGAAATTAAAAAAAAAAAAAAAAAAGAAGTTTATCCTAGGTGGTAATCATAGAAAAGTACAATTAAATCAAGGATGGCATAGCCCCCTTTTAAATGGTGGTATGATTTACGGGATTAACAAGAGCTGTGATGAGGGTTAAGACACTGCTATGGGACAGAAGACCTGGATGTTCTAAAAAGGAATGACCTTGATGAGATTTGGTGAGCATAAAGGAAGTATCAGGGAAGAATGGGTTTTCCAGGTGAACAGCAAGGTGGATGGTGATGTAATTAAAGACATTATAGAATCTAAAAGAGCAGCTGCCAGTGGGCGGTGTGGGGGGGGGGGTGTGGAGAGAAGGGAGTGGATGGTAACATGAAATGAAATTAGTTCGAAATAGACTGAATTTGTGGATTAGTATCCAAAACCCTCACAGAGCATTTCATTGCTATTTCTGTACTGATCTCCGTTGGACTTTTCATTCCCTCTACCTCTGTTTTTATCGTTAATTTATAGTTATGTAAAGGCAGATATGTCAGGGCTAGATGTATTTGAAGAAATGAAACCTGTGAAGTAGGGATGGCGATTATTTATCTAGAGAGAGGCAGTGGCACCAGATCAATGCCATCCATCTATGAAGGACCAGTTTGCACCCAGTTAGCACAGGCTGTGCTTCTACTTTGCTCGAGACAGGAAATGGGTCCTGGGTCCAGAGCTGGGCAAACAGGTCTCTTGGCCAGAGCCATGGAAGTCTATACCTGTGCAGATATACCAAGTTGGACTCTTTCATGTATGTTGTTGTCTCTGTTTAAAGAGAATACCGTGTCCAAGATGGGAAAATCTTCATTCCCTTGAACATCACTGTGCAAGGAGATGTGGTCGTTTCCATGTATCACTTGAGGTCAACCATCGGGAGTCGGCTACAGGCCAAGGTATGGTTTTATGACATAAGCTCCTCGGAGCCTTCAGTGGGAGTATTTCAGTCTTTCTTCTACATCACTTTGGGCTTGAGTGTCTTATGGTATTAGAATCAGAAGGAGCCGTTCAAGATTGCTGATGCCCATCTCCCTCATTTTACAGGGAAGGGAACTGAGGCTCAGAGAGATTATGGCTTGCCCAGATCACTCTGCTGGAAGGTGGCAGTGCTAGAACTTGTAGCAAACCTTGCTCTTTAGAAGCTTGTGCCTTTTCTACAGTGTCCTGTTTGGATCAGCATGTTGGGGGGGGAGGGCTATTTCTAGTAAGGAAGTGGGATTAAGTGATTATATATTCTTTTCAGTTTTTTTTTATTGCAACAAAATTCACCCTTTTAAAGCGTACAATGCAGTTGCTTTTAGTATTTTCAAAGAGTTGTGCAACCACCAGTACTGTCTAAATCCAGAACATTTTTATCACCCCCAAAGGAAACCCTATACTATTAGCAGTCACTGCCCATTCCTCTCCCTCCATCCCCTAGGCCTGTGGTCGGCAAACTGCGGCTCGCGAGCCACATGCGGCTCTTTGGCCCCTTGAGTGTGGCTCTTCCACAAAATACCACATGTGGGCGCGCACATACAGTGCGATTGAAACTTCTTGGCCCATGTGCAGAAGTCGGTATTTTGTGGAAGAGCCACACTCAAGGGGCCAAAGAGCTGCATGTGGCTTGCGAGCTGCAGTTTGCCGACCACTGCCCTAGGCCATCATTATTCTTCTTTCGGTCTCCATGGATTTGTCTGTTTTGGACATTTCATATAAATAAAATCATGCAACATATGGTCTTTAGTGACTGGCTCTTTTCACTAAGCACAATGCTTTCGAAGTTCATTTATGTTGTAGCATGTATTAGTACATCATCCCTTTTTATTTATTCATTTACTTTTAAATATTTATTGTTGAAAGTATTACATATGTCCTTTTTTTCTCCCACTGACCCCTTATTGCCCACTCCTGCCCCCTTCCCCAAGCCTCCGCCACCCTGTTGTCTGTGTCCACGTGTTATACATATATGCATACAAGTTCTGTGGTTGATCTCTTCCCACCCACCCAAGTACTTCATTCCTTTTTATGGACAAATAATATTCCATTATATGACTGTACTGCTTTTTATTAATCTCTTCATCAGTTGATGGGCATTCAGGTGATTGCCACTTTTGGGATATTACTGCAAGTAATTGCATTTTAATTCATCAAATATTTGCTAAGTGCATGCACTGTACCAGTCACTGCCTAGGAGTTTAGGACTGAGAAGAATAAGACTGTGTCCCTGCCTTTAGAAAACTTAGCCTAGCAGGGGAAATCCACACATGTACAGACATCCACTGCCATATTAGAGGTTGCATTAGATGCTCTAATGGGAGCAGTTGTTTTAGCCAGTGGTGGCCCAGAAAGGCTACAGAGGGGCTATGACCATCCAAGCTAGGCTGTGAAGGTTGAGTTTATCAGGTTGGAGCAGGGGTATGCTCGATGGAAGGAATAGAATGAGTCAAAGCATAGCAGTGTGCAAGAACGTGGGGCATTCGCAGATGAGGAAACGGCTTGCCTGGACAGAGCTCATGGAGAGGAGAGACTAGAAATAAAGCTAGGCCTGTTCCAAATAGGGAAGTCATTTAACATTCAGAGTGAAAAAAGGTTCAGGCTTAGAAACAGTTGGAGGTGCATGGCTCCTCAGAATATAGCCTTTTGATCTGATTCCCTTTCTACTGATGGATTGAAATGTGCTTCTCTCATGTATCCTTAGGTGACCAACACTCAAATATTCCAGCTTCAGTTTCATACTGGATTCATACCACTGGAAACCACAGTTTTAAAGTTCACCAAGTGAGTGCTGCTCGGGCTGAAACCCCTTTCAATCCGCACAGCTGTGAAGTGCTGGGGGCCAGTTGCTCAAGGTTCATTTGTGCTGTGCTGCAGGGCTGAGGCTGCTGCTGGACTGTGGAGTATAGCTTAGCAGCACAGAGAGGCTGGCATTGATTTTCTGTGTTTCTTTTTACTTTTTTAAAGAGAGAGAGAGAGAGAGAGAGAGAGAGAGAGAGAGAGAGAGAGAGAGAGAGAGACATTGATGTGAAAGAGTGCCCCCTGCATGCCTCCTACTGGGAATCAAGCCCATAACCTGAGCATGTGCCCACACTGGAAATCAAACTGGTGACTTCTTGGGGCATGGGAGGATGCTCAACCAACTGAGCAGCACTGGCCAGGGCAAGGCTGGTGTTTTGATTTGTCTTGACCACAAATTGTTCAAGAGACTCCACATAGGAAGGCCTAAAATTCCAAGTGAAGGAACAAGGGGGAACAAGAGAGGGCATAAAATATCAGTGCTGTCATCCTTTGCATCTGTGTGTCCTTTTGTGTTTTTCAACAGGGGTGGCAGTGTCATCAGTAGTATGATATGAATGATAGCCCTTCAGACTGGATAGCCCTTCAGATCACAGCATTGAAGCAGGGTCCTGGGAGACTCCCCCTGTGCCAGACATTAACCCTTAGTTGCTGTATTATAGTGTGGTCTAGAGAACTCGGGGGGTGGAGGGCGGTGGCCAATGCTGGGTCGGGATAGGCGTTCAAGAGCTCAGGGTGGTGGCCTTGAGCCTGTTTCACTCTTTTAATAACTGATTTGGCCATGCTGGTGCATACTGGCTGCATGTATCACCCCTGCCTTCTGGAATGCTTTCACATGTAGTAGTATCCAAGTTCTTTGAGTAGGCACTATTCTACCTCTTTTCTCTAGAGGAGGAAACTGAGGCTCAGACCAGTAAAGTAATTTATCTGGTTAATGATTGCATTTTCCCTAGAAATGAGTCTCAGGGTTAACCCAGGAGTCAACCTCCACTGGGTTTTGTGCTGAACATCGTACTGGTTCCATTTGTTTTTCACTGATCTTCTTCTTTTACTTCCCTATTTAGGCCTGAGTTGGATGCAGTTGATGTACCAGAAAAATATCCTCAACTATTTCAGGTGACTCTGGATGTAGAACTACAGCCCCAAGACAAAGTGGTCGACTTAACCCCACCCTGGGAACATTACTGCACGAAGGATGTCAATCCCAGCATCCTCTTCTCTTCTCACCAGGAACATCAAGATACTCTGGTCTTAGGAGGTATAAGCCACCTGATAGGGCTTTGTTTTCAGCATGAAGGCTCGCTGTTGGTGTTATTTATCACTGTTGGCTTGTTTCCTGTGTTTCATTGACTCTGCATGGCCTTTTGTCTTGCAGGACAGGCTCCAATAGATATCCCTCCAGACAACCCCAGGCATTTTGGGCAAGGTGGCTTCTTTTCCACTCTCTGTTGGCAAGGTACTTGCAAGCATTTCTTTAAACTTACACAGTTAGGTGATTGTCACATGGTTCTTTTGTAACGGTGATGAGTTCTCCAAGCAGCCTAAAGTAAAGCAGCACTTAGAAGTCATCCACTGTTCCTCCTTATTTGACACTCTCTTGACTCATGCCTTTTTTAGGTCAGGCTTCTCTCCTTTCAAGACCATAAATGCTTAGACTGATGCAAAAGGCTATTTTGAGCCGAATGCTACCTTTTCTCTCGATGCAGTATTTTGGATCACATTTTTCCTGGCTTTACAAATAAGCATGATCTTTTTTAGGATCTCCCTTTACTCTGCTGACACACAAATTAACTCTATCTCCTGCCCTCAGCTAATATTCTAAAAATATAAAATCTGGCATTGCCCCCAGAGGGCTCTAACCATTAGCGGGGCAGAACTGAGCTTCCCTGGTGTCGGGAAGGCAAACACTTGGCCCATACTTGCTACTTGCTGTAACAACCATGGCAGAAATCGGGCTCCACCACAGTATCATTTTCTGCTGAACCTGGAGATGTTTCAGAATCTTTCTAACATAATACTTCAAATTACTGCTATCAGTAGATTGGCATTGTAATCGATACCCATCTGCTACTCTGTTACCAGCTGGGGTTTTTGGGTTCCCCAAGATGGAAATAAAAAGGAACCACCTGAGATATTCCCAAATTTTATTGGACTTGCACCAGGTGTGAGGGAGATAGCACAGGAGCACAGGGTTCCCAACTGGCACCGCAAGTGGCTTTGTTGGGTTGTTTTTAATAAGAAGTGGATAAAGTGGGCATGCATAAAAGTTGGGCAAGGTATGATTTTTTCTATGTCAGGGCCCAACCACTTCTTCGTTCCTTTGGGTTGCTTAGCAGTAATTTGCTCCTTAGGGCAAGAAGGTGGTGTTGCTCACTACTGCCACTCTAGGAAGGTTATATAGTGGTCAGATCTTAATTGTGCATGTGGAACGGGGTTTCCATATCTGCAAGGAAGTGGAGGGATGGTTGCATTTATGTGGTTATTTTATACGGTGTTCTTTCTGGCTATCTGGCATTCCTTTGGCCCCAGGCCCAAGTCCCTATGCTCTCTCAATCCTTGCTTTAGAGTGTGCTGAAATTAACTGCAATAATATGAAATGGGTAGGAAACTGTTTTTGGCAATAGTCTACTTACAATTTTCTTGATTGACCCTCCTCAGCTGGCTGTGTGAACATAAGATATTTTTCCCATTGCCTACACAGAATTTCCCGTGTTTGGTGAAAAAATTGTTCATAGAATTCCTTTGAATTGAAAGGCTTATATTCAGAAATAGGACCAATAACATTAAAAAAATGGATAACTTGGGAAATCTAGACCTCAGGTAGATGGCCGAGCTCCCTCTTGGTTCCCCCATATCTTGTTTTATCACACAAGGGCTTTCAATAAAACTCCATGTTTACCTCTCTACTGCAATTTTAGTAAGTAATCTAGAAATCATTCCTGTCAGGCTCTGAAATAGCACACACGCACAATTTCTTTTCCTGACTTTGCAGAGCCAGGTGTGTTTAGGAATGCAGAATTTTTTGGATTTTAGTGAGGTGACATGGTACATACGTTGTATATGACTTAGCATTCCCAGGGGCATCTCTGACAACAACTTGTAATCAAACGTACTAACACTTCTGCAGTGAAACATAGAAATAGTAACCCTGAGTGAAATAAATGGAGATTATAAATACTTTCACATCAGGTCTGGTCATATTTTTCTACCAACTTAGGTTGCACCAAACTTAGGAAAAACCTTTCCCTTTTCATAGCTTTTTGCATTTTGGAATTGGGGATAAGGGATGTGCATCTACTTAATTTGAATGTGGATCTATCTATCTGACATTAAATGATAAAGTTCCGTAGGAGGAGCTGTCTCAAGGAGGGCCGGAAAGTCACTCACCAGCATCTCTATTCCTTCCCCGGAAGATGCCTCTTTCCTGCTGCCTATTTTATGCTGAAAGTACCTTTCAGGTTGGTGTAAGGACCATCCTAAGCAGAGCCATTCCCTCTATTCCTTCATTAGGTGTGTGGTTCACTTCTGCTCCAGACTGGGGGAGAAAGGCCTTGCTTTCGGCTACAGGCCACAGGGAAAAGTAAAAAACAGAGGAGTCAGCACAGAAATAGCTATTTTTTTTTCAAAGCACCTAGCATAGTGCCTGGAAGCTAATAACAATAATAGTAATTATTATTAATAAGAAACGCTATAAACACATATTACTTTCTATTGATCTGAGCACTTCCTATATGTATATCATGTCATGTGAATCTCACAGCAGCCATGTGAGTTAGGTAGTAGTTATTACCCCCATTTTGCTGAGAGAGAAACGGAGGCACTGAGAAGTAAAGCAACTTTCTGAGTGTCACAGAGCCAGTACGTAGTGGAGCTGGGATCCAAATCCCCGTTATCTGGCTCCAGAGTTTCTGCTCTTCACCCCAGTGCTGTACTGGACTCTTAGATGTTCAGCAAGTGATAACTGAATGTCATGTGAAGTACATCAAGCTTTCCATTGGGAAGGGTCTGAAAGCATTGTTTGCTCAGAGCTATTCCTTCTCTCTTTCTGGAGGGTATATATATATGTAAATTATAAAAAACCAACGATGACAGCAATGCTGTGGCCAGTAGCTAACCATTTGTTGTCATACTGGCCTTTCTTAGATCAGAAATCAGAGAAATCATTCTGTGAGGAGGACCACGCTGCCCTCGTGAATCAGGAAAGTGAGCAGTCAGACGACGAACTTCTGACCCTTTCCAGTCCCCACGGCAATGCCAGCGATGATAAGCACCATGAAACCAAAAAGCCCAGCAAAAAGCAGCAGGAGCCCGCTGCCCCTCCTCCCCCTGAGGACGTGGACCTTCTGGGCTTGGAAGGGTCTACAGTGAGTAAGAACTTCTCCTCACCAGTGGCTCCTCCCACCAATTCTGATCTGCTCAGTGACCTGTTTGGGGCTGCAGGTGCGGCCGGCCCTGCCCAGGCTGGACAGTCCGGGGTGGAAGACGTGTTTCATCCAAGTGGACCTGCATCTGCCCAATCAACACCACGCCGGTCTGCCACCTCCACCTCTGCGTCTCCAACCCTACGAGTGGGAGAAGGTAAAATTTTCCATGCTGCACTGTACAGTTTTGAAATCTAACCTTTGGGCCAAGTAGGTAGAATTGAACCTTCCTAATAAGCTAGACGTTTCTAGTCTCCCTGAAAGTTCCCCAGAAGTTTATATATTTATTTAAATGGGGAACACAAGAGGAAATAAAAGGTAGGAAAGGGTAAGAGTGAATATTTGGGCTTCTCACCCCTACTTTAATTTTTTTAGGGCTTTAATACCTGAGCGTGCAGATGTAGATTGATGAATTATTATTGCTAATGATGGTGGGGTATTTACATGGAATTTAACACTAAACATTGATTCAATTCTTATAAAAACCCAGTAATTAGATGCTGTCATTATCTCTCCTTCATAGTTGAGGAAATAGAGGCTTAGAGTCAGATTAGTAGCATACCATTTTTTTATCCACTTAGTAATGGATCGGGCCAGGTTCCAAAATTAGGCCATTTGTCTCCAGAGCTTTCCCTCAGTTTTTTTTCCTGTAATGCCTTCCTGGAATTGTAGTTTTCTGAATACACTTTGGCTATGCAGAGAAGTACTTGGCTACTTCAAGGCATATTTGAGGGACTCATGCCTGCAGCACAGCTGACTGTAGCAGAGCTATTGGAGTCAGGTAAGGAGCTGGAGGCCCATGTGGCTCAGGTAGCTTCGCCTTGCTCATTGCTACAGACTCCACCCTTCCTGTGACTGGACATCCACAGTGTTTTGACATTTTGTAAGACAGTGTAGTTGAGTAAGCGGAGGTCCTTTATAGCTAAGAACCTCTGCCCCTTGTTACCAAGGTAACAGCACATTAGGAAGAGGAAAGGGAAATGTCTGAACATTCCAGGCACATGGTAACCTATGGGACCTTTCTTTCCCAAGCTTACCCTTCAGTTCTCAGAAGGCCTTGGACAGGTGTTGATTCATGGCAGTTCAGCTGGAGGCATTCTTTGTAAGAGTGAGCCTCAGAATCATAGAATGTAGGGGCTAGGGCTGAGGTTCCTACATGTTATTGGTAGAGCCCGGATGTGAGGTGCCCTGAATCTCAGGATATTTCCTCTATACTTCACTCCCTTCCATCCAGTTCTTACTCACCAAAGTGAATAAAAGTTCTATCAGGAAATAAAAAATTCCCCAAGATCCTTAAGATGGTGCATCTTGTGTGATTTTGATGATTTAATCCATCGTAGTCCTATGCAGATAGTTCTGTCCCATTGTCAGAAATAGAAGGGCCTTCTGGCACATTAGATAAATCTGTGCCTCAGGTTGCAGACAATGAAATCGAGGCCTGTGTATACTGATTGACTTGTCCAAGGATACACAGCTGATTGGTGGCAAACCCAGATCTAGAACGCAAGTATTCTGTCTCCTAAGAGGAAGTAGAAAGAACACAGTCCAGAGTTAAAGGCCTGGATTTGAATCCCAGGACCGACACTTAACCATCTGTGTAGCCTTATTAATAAAACCTTAATTTTCTTGGTTATATAGGGGGTTAATATTTACCTATCAGCATTGTTGTAAAGACTAAATTTTGAGCTCTTGTAGTGTTGGGAAGTTCACTTTTAGTAATGGAGAATGCCTCTAATTTAACATAAGTTGCCATTAAAAGGGTACCAAGTAATAGAAGATTTTAGCATCCTACACCAGTTGGCATTAAACTTAGATGTAGAGGAATTAATTCAGTGTCCTCTTATAGTTACGCTATAAATCTGGTGTTCTCATTTTATAAAAGAGATAAAGTTTAGTGAGTATTAAATGATAAGGGATATATATTGTGTAACAGAATGCCTGACAGATGCTTGATTTACTGGTGCTGCACAAGGTTAATTTGTTGCCCAGCTGATTATAGGAGAACATTGTAGCAATGAAGTCATAGCTGAACTCATCAAACCATATATCCTGCCTGGGCTTTAAGAGTGGGATTTATTTGTTAACTTGTTTGATTCTAGTTGTCCATTCCTAAACAGGTCAGTTCCACTCCAGGAAGAAATTAATTCACTAGTGTGAGACTTACAGAATAGAAAGTGACATCTCAATATAAGGCGCTAAAGGGAATTTTATTCCTTGTCCAATAATGAGATATTAAAGGGCAATTACATACATGCAGCTCTGCATGGTTTCAGTCACATTCATTTTACACCTTGAGAAATGTGAGATGCCTTTGGGAAATTCCTGGAATTTAGAGTCAGAAGACTTGAGCCTGAATGTCAGCCCTATTATTTCCTTGATATTGGGCTTTCTAAACCTCAGTTTCCTTGTCTATATAATGAAAATAACACCATTTCTGTCTGATAGAAGACAGCGGTATTGAGGATCAGCTGAGATATTCTTTATGAAGGGCAACATGAATCCTAAGAAATGTTGCATTGTTGCTGGAAACCTCAGCTGCCCACTTTGTTCGCATCCTCTTAGTTCATTAACAAACTTTTGTTAGCCCTGGGGGACATTTAAGGATAGGATGGGCCCGTGGAATAGCCCAGGAGGCAGGAATCATCCTGATTTTTCAAGTACTTGTCCTAGGGCCTAGAAATAGTGATAACTCTTCAATATTTATTGAATGAACGAACTCATAGGACAAACACATTTCTCTTTTATTTTCTAGGTGCCTCCTTTGACCCATTTGGAGCACCTTCTAAACCATCAGGTCCAGACTTGCTGGGTTCTTTCCTGAACACGTCCAGTGCTTCCAGTGACCCCTTTCTTCAGCCTACGAGAAGTCCTTCACCTACATTGATTGGTAAGAAGTATTTTATATTGGGAAATAGATTTCCACAAGATACCCATAGGTACTTAGTGTTAAAAACATCATGTAGGTGTTTGGAGGTGGGGTGAGGAGAAGCTACATAATGCATCTCTCTCTTTTGGGTATTAACAATTCATGTTACCATATTAAAAGCTCTGGGTGTCTTATCATAAACAATCCTGTTTAACTTTGTTTTACTCAGCTTTTCTAAAACTTATTGACTTTGGAATTCTTTTTTGTATTAGAACGACATGCATAGAATTATGATACCGTTGATTGTAGGGTGTTTATTTTATGTACTGATAAGGAAGAAAACAATGCTATTACTTTTAGTTGATTGGAAGATGCATCCTAGTTGAAGACATTTTTGAAATGTGGAAAAATATGAGTCAAGTTAATAAAATGTGATATGAGCATTCCACAAAATCAGTATGCTACAGAACGAAGTTTAGAATACAGCACCCTGATGAGTTAGAGCTATTCTATCTAATACGAAGTGGCTATTGAGCGCTTGGTACGTGGCTAGTCTATTTGAAATGTGCTCTGAATATAAAATAACATCCCAGATTTCAACACTCAATATAAAATAAGAATGTAAAATATCTCATTAGTATTTTATATTGATCACTTGTTAATATTTTGAATACACTGGGTTAAACAAAATATATTTCTAAAATTAATTTAACCAATGTCTTTTTATCTTTTTAATATGACAACTAGAAAATTTAAAATTACATCTGGCAGGGTAGTTCAGTTGGTTAGAGCATTGTCCCTATATGCAAGGTTGCCAATTTGATCTCCGGTCACATAGAAGAAGCAACCAATGAATGCATAAATAAGTAGAACAACGAAATCAATGTTTTTTTCTCTCTCTCTCCTTTCCTCTCTCTATCTAAATAAATCAATTTTAAAAAGAAAATTTAAAATTACATATGTGGCCCACATTATATATTTACTGGAGGCCCGATGCACAAAATCCATGCAAGAGTAGGCCTTCCTTCCCTCGGCTGCCAGTACCGGCTTCCCTCTGGCACCCGGGACCTGGGCATCCCTTGCAGCCCCGGCTTCATCTGGAAGATTGTCCAGCCTAATTAGCATATTATGCTTTTATTATTATAGATTATTTTAGAGACTTAGGTTGTGTAGCAAGAATAGTGATCACATCCATTTGTAAGTGCAAAACAGATTAAAATGGGAGCTCTTCGATGAAGGACAAATGGCTTTGAGCTAGAGAATTGTGTCTCATTCTTGATGCTGAAGGCTATTGAACATTATTGGCCTCAACCTAGAAAACGATGTGTTGTCCAAGGCACCCTGAGCTTGTCTGGAGAATGCAGTCCAGTCATCAGCTTGACTTCATGGAAGTTAGACCAATGCAAAAGGAAGATGCGTTATGCAACATAGGTCAGACTGTAACTTGACTGAAATAGGAATCAGTCTAGGAATAACCTTTATGGGTGATTTCCAATTACAGTGGGGCCTTGACTTACGAGTTTAATTCATTCCGTGACGGAGCTCGTAACTCAAATTACTCGTATGTCAAATCAAAAAGTGAACGAGTGAGACACGTGATGCTGGGCTGATGTTGTGGAGTTCACTGTGACATTCGCTGCGCCAACTAGCGGTGGGGTATCTGAAGCTGGCTCGTAACCTGAATTTTAGCTCGCAACTCAAAGCAAAAAATCGGCCGAGAGACGGCTCGTATCTCGAAAAACTCGTTAGTCAGGACACTCGTAAGTAAAGGCCACACTGTAGTCTTAAATCTCAAACTATTTGAGGTGGGTCCACAGGACAACATACAAGAAATGCACCTCTCACCCTTGTGTAGTGCCCACCTAAGAAAATCTCCTGATTGGAAGTTGGTTTCCCTGGGGAGAAAGATGCAGGGATGGAGGTTAAAGCTGTTGTTTTTGCTCACTTACTTAAAATGTAAGTCACATCATTGCTCAAAATAGCTCCCTATTTCACTTAGCATGGGAGCCAGACTCCTCCTCAAAATGGCCTTCCGAGGCCCTATGTGCTCTAGCACCCCAGTGACCTCATTTTCTGTTCTCTCCTTCTTGCTCTCTTCATTCCAGCCATACTGGCCTACTTGCTGTTGCACTGGCTGTCCCCTCATCCCCAGACATCACATAGCTAACTCCTTCACCTCTTTGATCTTTGCTCAACTGTCACCTTCTCAATGGAGTCTACTCTGACTGCTCCGTTTCACATCCCAACTCATCCCCCCCCCCCCCTGCCCTTAATACAGTTTCCTTTCCATGGTACTTATCAACTTCATTATATTTAATAGTGTACTTACATGTTATGTCTATCTCTCCCACCAAGGCAGGGATTTTTGTTTCTTTGCTCATTAATGCTTCCCTAGCGTTTAGAAGAATTATTGGCACACAGTGGGTGCTTTCTATCTATCTTTCTATTGAATATGTAAATATAAAATGAATTAACTCATTTTTTTTCTATCTATGCTTCTTTGATGCACCATGATAGAATTAATAAGGTTATATATTTTCCTGGTTTTGGTACTTTGAATTGATTATTTTCACAAGAGTTCTACCTTTTATGTCCCGGGGGTGTGGATGTTTATACTTCAGCATGGCAGTTCTGGGTCTGGTTCTCTGTTTCTTTTGAGCTGGTTAGAACATGTTATTACTCAGTGTAGGTCAGTTAGCACCCCTTTGTTCTGTAGCCATTTTTGTCTGTGTCTTGCCAGTGAGTGAAAAGAATTTACCACTCTCCTTGCTTGGAAATCAATGATCATTCCATCTGTAGTAGATCATTTGCATATTCTTGGTATAGGATAACATATATGTGAGACTTAGATGTCAAATTGGGCGGTCAGAATTGCTCATCTCTAGAATTCCCTATCTGAGCAAAAGGCACCTATTCCCATTCTTTTACCCAGCCGTTCAAGCTGGAAACCTGGAGTCATTTTCCTGATTTCTACAAGGCACCACCAGTCTCTTCTGAAAATCAAGAAATATTACCTTTGAGCTCTACAAATGTTTATTGAATGTCTACTCTAAAGAGAATAAGCACTAGAGCATAGTGTTAGAAGAAAAAATAAACAACTATAATGAAAGGCAAGATGGAGAATAAAAGTATTAGGTAATTACCTTTTAATTTATGTATTTCCATCTCCAACAGATTTTAAGTTTATTGAAAATAGGCAGTGTGTCTTTTAGTTATCTGTTCCCTGGCATGGTGCCTTGCATAAGTATTTTTGGTTTTGATTAGTAATAAAGTTGAAATTCTGACACCCAGTTCTATATCCTAGTTGGATGTAACACTAAGATCAGAGTGTAAAGGAAGTCAGACAGCAAGGGTTGGCAAAATGGTCTAATTTCCACCTCAGTTTTCAGGGATTACTGTGGAATAAGAATAGAAAGGAAAGAACTGTAATTGCTGATAATGGCATGTTTTTTTTTAACTTAATGATGGGAAGGTAGAAGACATCTTGGTTTATACTAAGCAAACAAGAAAATATAAGGCTTCGTAATGCTAATCTTGGTGATTTCATGATTCTTTTGGTGGTGGTGATGGTGGTGGTAGTGGTGGTAGTGTGGTCATGGTGATAAATGAGGGTATGTATTAAATCCAACTTGCAATGTTTAGTATTTGCATTTTACTCACTGATTTTATGGACAGAACTTAGAGGTGCCTTAGAAAGAAATTCTTATGACATCCTGTTTCTTATTTGGATTTTATAGATTCAGAAAAAACTTAGTACCAATGTGTATACATTGATACACATGATTCTCTTTAGCTAAACATTTTTAAATTCTACATTTGGAATTTTTAGAGGTGCTAGGGGGTCTGTTTTGAGTGGGAGCTGTAAGGAGTTCGTTTTAAGTGACAATAGATACACCTCTAACATGAGCATGGTGGATGCATATAGTCAGTGCCTAATATGTGCTCTGAAAGACTGATTATTCTCAATTCATGTCACAGCAAAGAAGAAAACAAAAGTTCAGTTCTAAGTTGATTGTGCCTCTCATACGCTTGTTCATGCCAACTGAAGACAAATTGAGTTTTGTTTTTTTTTTTATCTTTTCTTATTGCCCACCGACTTCCAGATAACTATAGAAGTGGGACACACATTGATGAATCAGGTAGTTCCTGCCTTCAAGGAACTCACAATTTAGTGAAGACAGAATATGCACCGTTATATTTCAAAGTGTGTGGTGGATATGGAGGTAAAATGAAATTGAGCCAAAGAAGGGACAGAGATAAACAATATACTAAAAAAATGTAATGTACACACATTTTGGCTGCCATTATTAATTCCAGCGGGTTAAATATGAAAAAAAAAATCAGTTGAGCTATCAGCTGTTAAACTGTGTATACATTTTGGGGGATACTTATATGGCTTTTACCAACCCTCATGGAAGTCACCAAGGAGGAATGCACAAATTATCAAATGCTGCAAAATGTATTGAGAGCTCAGGATCCCTTGGGACCTTGGGAAGCCATGCAGATCTCATGGATGGCATAGCACTTTCCTACATGAACTTAGAAAGGCAGGTTCTGAGCTGTCATTTCTTAATTATTTTTCTCTCCTGATTTTTAGCTTCAAGTACACCTGCTGTGAATATTCAGCCAGATGTTTCAGGAGGTTGGGACTGGCAGACTAAACCAGGTAAAGGTCAGCAGGCTATTCATATGCATATGTAACCAATTGCTAAAGCATGACTGTTCACCCAGAATGAAGTGAGTACTTAGAGAGTATTATAGCCCACCTATGTAATTTGTGTTGATCTTTCCTAAAGACTTATATTCTTGTGGAACTTTCCCATTGCATTTGATGACATGGTAATGACATGATAACATGTATTACATGTTATTTTACTTTTCCTAGTCTCATTTGCTGAATGTCTGTTTTGATGCTAGAATTTGGCAGATCTGGGTATATATCTAACTCGGCCAATTAGAAGTTCTTGGATTTTTTTTTTACAAGTCTGAATCTCAGTTTTGTTATCTCAAAGTGGGATCCATAATTCTTATCCCACATAGTTGTATAGTTTAAGTGAAATAACTTATTTGAAAATTTCTAGTGCAGAGTAGCTGCTAAATAATTTGGATGGTCTTCCTTCCTCACAAAGGACTTGTTTCAGGGCTGGATTTGTCTGTGATTTCATAAATAAGTTCTTTCTCATGGCGAGATGGTGTTTATTGAAAGCCAACTTGTGTGATTGCATTCACAGCACTGTGAAAGTTACACACACACACACACACACACACACACACACACACACACACACACAATGTGCTTATCATGGCAACTTTCTGAAGCAGTTCCTGTTTCTTAACAAACGAGAAAATGTTGAAACTCAGAGAAGTTAAACAGTGTGCACAAGGCCACTCATTCATTAAATAGCAGAGACAGAATTCAGAGCCAGGCCTGACTACAAATCTCATAAAAAGAATGAAGTCAGGAAAGGTAAACACTGGACATAATAGTTCACAGGTGTGGCCAAGAAACAACATATATGCCTTTTTGGGGCCCTGTCTCTGCTCCAGGACACTATTCACTTAAGTTCAGAAAGACAAGGTCTACCAACTTCTAACATATTTCCAAATCCTATCCTAATTTACCCTTAGTGACAAAATTCAGAATTACACCTTAGACAACTAACTCATTTTCAATTATCTTATTCCTTTTCAGGAGGTTTTGGGATGGGAAGCAAGTCAGCTGCCACCAGCCCCACCGGATCCTCACATGGAACTCCTACCCATCAAAACAAACCCCAGACTCTGGATCCTTTTGCTGATCTTGGGACACTAGGTATAAACTTAACAGGTTAAGAAATTTACTTATGGCTACGAAACCTCAAATCTAAATCCTTAGTGTTATAATAAGCTGGTACCTAAAATGTTGCATATTCTTAAGGATATCCACTCTAAACCCAAGATTGGCTTTAAACACATACGCAAAAAATAGGCTTTAAGTAGTCAGCCCACTAACTAACTCCTATTAATCCATTTTGGATTAGTAGGATGAATAAAGTTACAATTTCTAGGAGCATCTTACAACAGAGTTTGCAGTAAAAGTAGCAAGAGTGTAGGGAAATGTAAGTGGTGAGACTGGTCAGGTAGATTTGAGCCCCCTGGGGCCAGTTGTGCATAGGTGTTCTTGTGATGTTACCAGTGAGGTCCTTACACTGGTACCCTCCTTCTCGCCATCAACTACATACAAAAAATAGACTCTCTGTATAGTATTTTCAAAGTGGTTTTCATCGTGTGCTCATTGTTATTAGAGGATGAGTGTTACATGAGCAAGTAATTTTTGGAAACACTGGGTTCGGTGGACTTTGATGACTGCAAAAACTTCTGGGAATAAATGGTCATAGTGATGCTTCCCAAAAGGTATACAGTTTGAAGTATTCTCAAACTATTTCACCAAGAAAGCATTTTTTGCAAGGAGTAGTTCATTGGATGTTCTGAAGCCTTGTCTCCCTCCCTTTTCCTTCCTCCTCTGGGCAGTGCAGAGCTGTTAAACAAGGGTGGATGGGCCCTGACACGAAGGTTTAAATTAGCCAGGTGGATAGTTCAGGTTCTCAGAAAGCCCTGGGGTATTTAGAGCCAAATTGTCTGCAGGGAATGAGAGCATGCTACCATTTTGACAGCAATTGGATCAGATTCTTGACTTTTCCTTATATATGTTTTAGAATTTTTTTAAGAACTCTCAAAATTATTTTCCCTTCTTTGTATCCTAATGTAAGTTTAAAAATTTTAAATAACAATATCAGGTGAAATTCTACCTCAAATCAAACATCATTAGGTGTTCATTTTTTCCCCATTTATTCATTTCACAACTACTTAGTATCTTCAATATGCTAATACTGTTTTAATAAAAACCAACCACCAAAAACAATAATAACAAAATTTCTGTTTTCTAAAGCTTATATTCTAGAAAAGTAAATAAATAGTAAGTGAATAAATATATAATATAATAACTGTTTACTGGGGGATTTACTATGTGCTGGGCACTATTTTAAGTGCTTTACATATATAAATTTATTTAATCTTCCCAATAATCTTTTGAAGTAGAGGCTATTATAATCCTCCTTTTGTAGATGAAGAGTGGCCATTGTAGGAGGTTCTTTTTAAAATCCAACATTATGTCTTGCATTTAGCTCTCATGTTCTTTTAGACATTGTTAATCTGGAATCATTCCTCAACCTTTCTTTGCCTTTTATGACATTGAAACTTGAAGAGCACAGGCCAATTAAGCAAGTCTCAATTTGTTAACTTTAATGACTTGCTTAAGGTGATGTCTGCCAGTTTCCTTCATTATAAAATTATAATTTTCCTCTTTGTAATTAATGAGTAATCTGGGGGAGATAATTTGAGGCTATCCTATTTGAGATAATCCTATTAGAGAAGATTATATTCTCCACCTGACTTTACCCACCTATTTTAGCATTCATTAATGATTCTTTTCTGAAGTAGTCATTGTTATGATACTTGCAAAATTGTGATTCTTCTGATTCTTTCTTTCTTTCTACATTTATTAATTGGCATTTTACTGTAAAGAAAATAATTTTCTTTTTTCTCTCTCTCTTTCTCCCTTTCTCCCTCCCTCTCCCTCACATCAGAATGGACTAATGGATTTTTTTGATTAATTGGGTTATCATTCATTACTGTCATTATTTCCTTTAATGTTCACATTGTCCCAGATTTGATTTGTTAAAGCCTCTTTGCTCTGGCTTCTGTGCCCTTTTCACTAGATTCCATGAGAACTTACTTTCTTTATAGTACAACAAGATGTTCCAGGCTTGTCCTGACCTTTTTATACCCTAGTTCTGGAATCAGTTGTTCTCCAAAGTATCTTCACTCCCTTTCGTGGGGAATGGTATTTAGAAACCAAAATCTGTACACTGGGTATGTTCATTGGTACTAAGTGGGTGTCATTCTCTACCTTTCAGAAGATATAGGAGATGAATGGATATTCATATATAGGCTTTCATCCGGTTCCACAGGGTTCTTCCTTGTCTTCCCTATTGCAGTGGTTCTCAACCTTCTGGCCCTTTAAATACAGTTCCTCATGTTGTGACCCAACCATAAAATTATTTTCGTTGCTACTTCATAACTGTAATGTTGCTACTGTTATGAATCATAATGTAAATATCTGATATGCAGGATGGTCTTAGGCGACCCCTGTGAAAGGGTCGTTCAACCACCAAAGGGGTCGCGATCCACAGGTTGAGAACCGCTGCCCTGTTGTATATGTTTCTCTTATTTTTCCCTGGATCGCAGTATTAACAGATAACAAAAATAGTTTCGAATAGCTACACACATATCACCGTAACAAATCTACTAGGAGGAGTTCAAGAGTTCTCTGCCAATTTTGAAATGCAGTAATTTTTACAACTGCTGGAGAAATTGGTCTCCCAAATTTCTCCCTCTTTCTAGTCACATATCTTAGGAAAGTTAAGTAACTTTCCTAAAGCCACACAATGAACAAGTGTATGTGCAAGGGTTATAAGTTAGAATTTTTGACTCCTAGATAATCATTTTAGAATAAAAATTATAATTCCAAATTATATACCTGCAAGTTATTTATTTATTTATTTCTGTTGATCTTCACCTGTGAATAATTTTTTCCATGGATTTTTTTTTTTTAATAGAGAGAGTGGAAGGGAGGGAGGAGATAAAAAGAAACATGAGAAACACATCGATTGGTTGCCTCCTGAACCTGCCCTGACCGGGGCCAGGGATGGAGCTTGCAACTGAGGTATGTGCCCTTGACCAGAATCGAACCTGTGACCCTTCAGTCCTTGGGCCAAGGCTCTAACCACTGAGAAACCTGGCTAGAGCTATACCTGCAATCTAGAAAATACAAAAAACAGTGTTCTTCTCTTTAAGGTATTTGCACATTTAACGATTCTGATACAAACACCTATACCAGTGGTTCTCAAACTTGGCTGCACATTAGAATCACCTGGGAATCTTTTTAAAATCCCGATTTCTGGGCCTCATCCTCCGGAAATTCTGTTTCTTTGTTACTAATGTTGTGGCCCCATCCCATAACAAAGAAACGGAATTTCCGGAGGATGAGGCCCAGAAATCGGGATTTTAAAAAGATTCCCAGGTGATTCTAATGTGCAGCCAAGGTTGAGAACCACTGACCTATACCTTAGTTCCTCACTTAGATGTTTTAATTTAATTGATCTGGTTGTGGTTTGGGAATAAGGAGTTAAAAAGCTCCCCAGGTGATCCTAATGCACAACCAAGGCTGTCAACCATACTTTAGCTTTTAATGAGGATAGCAGTGGCCTCTGGGTTTTGCTGCTTCTTTGTATTTCTGTGAGTTCTCTGCTTTAGTAGCATTAAAACTTAGAATTGTTGAACATGGGTAGAGATATTCTGGAAGGGTAGACATTAGAAAGTCCTACCCTGTTGATAAGCCCCTTGAAAGCAGGGTCAACATCAGCCTTTTACCACTGTATCTGCAGCCTAGCAGGTAGAAAATGTTCAACAGTGTTTCAGAAATGAATGTATAAATGACAATGTTATGGGAATATGGAAGGCTTTAAAAATTCTTTAGGCTTGTCCATATTTACTGGATTTTTCATATATATATATATACACACACACACACATACTAGAGGCCTGGTGCACAAATTTGTGCATGGGTGGGGTCCCTCAACCTGGTTGGCAATCTGGGTGATTGGGGCCGTCTTGCCCAGTCCCGATCAGGCCGATGGGGGCCCGATGGGGGCCCGATGGCAGGGGGGTGGAGGGGGGGAGGAGGGAGGAACCTCGGGAGGTTGGCTGTGGGAGTGCACTGACAACCAGGGGGCAGCCCCTGCATTGAGCATCTTCCCCTGATGGTCAGTGAGCATCATAGCTACCACCCGGTAGTCTGGTCGTCCAATCATAATGGTCGCTTAGGCTTTTATAAAAGACTAGGAGCCCTGTGCATGATTCGAAATCGCACGGCACTGCCCACCCTCGAGTCTCCGGTCCGGCCCTGCCTCCTTCCCCAGGCCCCACAGCAGCCATGGCCCCTGCCAGTCCGGCCCTGCCTCCCTCTCCGGCCTTGAAGCAGACACGGCTACTGCTGATCAGGCCCTCCCCCAGCACAGGCACACAGAGGCCCCTGCTGCCCCGCCCCCAACGCTGCACGCACAACCTCCACCTGTCCAATCGATCTGTTATGGCATCCCAATTAATTAGCATATTTCTCTATAATATATATATATATATATATATATACACACACATACATACATACAGTGGGGCCTTAACTTACAAGTGTACCGACTAACGAGTTTTTCAAGATACGAGTCGTCTCTCAGCCGATTTTTTGCTTTGAGTTGCGAGCTAAAATTCGGGTTACGGGCCAGCTTCAGATACCCCACCGCTAGTTGGCGCAGCGAACGTCACAGTGAACACCACAACATCAGCCTAGCATCACGTGTCTCACTCGTGCACTTTAAGATTTGACATACGAGTAGTTTGAGTTATGAGCTCCGTCACGGAACGAATTAAACTCGTAAGTCAAGGCCCCACTGTAGATAGTAAGCTTCCCTGAAATATAAAATGAAATCCCAGTGTAGAATGAATATCCAGCCTAAGGTGTGTATTATGTTGATGTCCTGTGGGCAGGTGGGCCCAAGGGCTCATGAAGAGATGCTTCATGCTCTGAGTTACAGCCTGAGAGGGGCCAATACCAAGCTTCAGAGTATATGCCCTGTCATGACCTTTCCTATTACCTAGTATTTATTGAGCCCTTATCATGTACTAGTGTGTGCTCACTATTGCTGGGATTTGTGCTCACTATTGCTTCCATTATGTTATAATGTATAATGCCTAGCATTGTGTCTTTACAGTATACCTGTGATGTATATGTAATTCTGCTTTTACAGATGAAGGGTAATTGAGTTATGAGCTCCGTCACGGAACGAATTAAACTTGTAAGTCAAGGCCCCACTGTAGATAGTAAGCATCCCTGAAATATAAAATGAAATCCCAGTGTAGAATGAATATCCAGCCTAAGGTGTGTATTATGTTGATGTCCTGTGGGCAGGTGGGCAGATTTATGTCAAATCTTAAAATGCACGAGTGAGAAACGTGATGCTGGGCTGATGTTGTGGCATTCACTGTGACGTTCGCTGCGCCAACTAGCGGTGGGGTATCTGAAGCTGGCCCGTAACCCGAATTTTAGCTCGCAACTCAAAGCAAAAAATCGGCTGAGAGACGACTCGTATCTTGAAAAACTCGTTAGTCGGTACACTTGTAAGTTAAGGCCCCACTGTATGTATGTATGTGTGTATATATATATATATATATATATATATATATATATATATATATATATGTATATATATATATATATATACAGAATTAGGGATTTGGGTGCAGCCAATAAGCATGACATTTGGAGGTAGGATGTGTGTGGCAATTCCCAACTCCGTTAACTACCTGTGTGATTATGAGTACATTAGTAAACCTTTTTGAGGCTTGATTTCCTCATCTTTAATGCGGGACCAATGGTACTACCTATCTCCTAAGAGTGTTGCATAGACCGAAGGCAATAATATACATAAACATATTTTGTAAACTCTAAAGAGCTCTAATGTTAGTTATTTTATTGTCATTGTTACTTTGGGTTTGGTGCATGAAAGGGTCCCAGGAGATCACAACTACAACGGGCAGTTTCTCATTTTACCTCTTTAAACACAAGCCACAACTGGTCTTTCTATTTTAGAAACAGCTCAGCATGTATTCAGTGAATACTTTTAAGTTAGGGGATTATGGAATCAGGATTCTACTTAAATTCCTGGCACAAAAAAATATCATGTTTAAAAGGTTGAATAAGATCCTTGGTTCTGTTCAAAGTTGGCTGTGCTTACTCTCCTGCAATGAAATCCAAGTAGTGTGAAATTGAAACCTACTCGTGAAATTTCAAAACATATTTGTTTACCCTTGAGCATTAACCACGCTTGTACTTCAACAAATAATGATTAATCCTGACCGTCGAAGTTTAAATAGCACCTTAATGAGTGAACATATTTTGTTTTATTTCCTGTTCTTATTATTTGGTAATCTTTAGTCCAGTCAAGAAATAGAATCTGCTTTGAAGATGGGATGGAGGAGAGGAAGGCGCAGTGGGGAGAGCCAGGGCTCTTCTGGTGTGGAGTCAAAGGCTTGGATTCAAATCCCTGTTCTGTCGATTGCTGGTTGTATGACTCTGAGAAAATCAGTTAACTGCTCTGAGCAGTTTGTTCATCTAAAGAAAAGATGGGGCTATTAATACATACCTAAAAATGTCATTGTGGGGATTAAAGGAAATATATACCTGCTTTTTTTTTTAAGTATTAGGAAGGTTAATAGTGCTATTAGTCAAAGCAATTTCCACTAAAGCTATTGCAAACAATAACTCAGGACACAAGAGTTAAAGGCTACTCAAAACAGCATTACCTTATTTCTTCCGCCCTTTTTTTTTCTATAGGTAGTTCTTCATTTGCCAGCAAACCCACCACACCAACTGGACTGGGTGGGGGATTTCCACCTCTCAGCTCACCACAGAAAGCTTCTCCCCAACCTATGGGTGGAGGGTGGCAGCAGGGAAGTGGCTACAACTGGCAGCAGACACAGTCTAAGCCACAGCCCAGCATGCCGCACTCCTCTCCCCAGAACCGGCCCAACTACAACGTGAGCTTCTCAGCCATGCCTGGGGCCCAGAATGAACGTGGGAAAGGATCGACTAATTTGGGTAAGGATGATGGTATGGAGCCTGGCTGTAGCGTGGCCTGTGTTGTCATACTACCTGGATGTATGTATGTCCTAAGAAGGAGACAGAAAATAATTCCATTGACTTCTGAGGCAATCGTACAGTTGTAGAGACACAACATGACCCCTGCCTCCAACTCTGTGCCTAGAGTACCTGGGTTTACCATGCTCTGAACGCTTTATCATTTTATGACTGTTGCTTCACTTGTCTGTTTCTCCCCACACTGAGACCAAATGTGTATATGTTTACCATGTTATCATTAGCGCATAGCATAGCGCTTGGCACACCATACGCACTAAATCAGGGGTGGGGAACCTTCTTTCTGCCAAGGGCCATTTGGATATTTATAACACCACTCACGGGCCATACAAAATTATCAACTTAAAAATTAGCCTGCTATATTTGGCCAAACATTTAATTAACTCACCCCTCATGCCTTGGCATGGCCAGACCAAATGATTTTAAGGGCCTTATATGGCATGTGGGCCAGGCATTCCCCACCCCTGCACTAAATGAATATTGAGTGAATGAGTGGAGGGGTGGGTGGGTCTTGAAGCTGTCCTTCCTTTGAAAGAAGGGGTAGAAGAGAAAGACTGGGAACTTCTTAAGCACTGTGTTCACATTTGCCCTTGGATCCTGGTTACAGTGAATCTGTCTTCGACATTGAGTCTTATGCTGCATAAGCGGATGTTCCTGAGGCCATTGGGTTTCCTGTGATGGTTTTCCCTCTTCTGAGAACACAATATGGGTCAACAGCTAAGGCTCTAGGATACGCTGGATGGGCTTTTTACTTTTATTTTTATTTGTAACTTTTGAATGGGATTGTTGATGAGTAAAAATATTTTGCATAGCAGGGGTGGTTAAACTTGAGTTTATTAAAAGGCCTGGTATGATACATTTTGCATTCCAGTTGATCTGATCATACCCAGGAATTAAATATATAGGGACATGATGAGGAAATAGGCCTTTCCCTCTACGGAATCCACGGAGAGAAATTCTACTTTTCCTAGTAGCAGTAACTAACATTTATTGAGTACTTACTACATTGTGTCAATTGCCATTCTAAACAGTTTTCATGGATTATTTCATATAATCTTCAAAACTAACCCTATGTTGTAGGTGAGGAATCTGTGACAGAGATCGATAAAGTAATTTTTTAAATTCATACAACTTGTAAGTGACAGAGCTAAGATTTGGTCCCAAGTGATCTGGCCCCAGAAAGTCTGCTCTTAACTGCCACACTCTACTGGTCATGACGTAGGTGCCTTCTTACAACACTAGCGTGATAGGGATTCTTTTATTGGGTGACACCACATTTGTTCTTTGAAGAACGGTGGATATTCTTTGGACAATTCCACGAGTCTTGTGGCTTCCTTCCCATTTTTATTTTGAGTGGATGTGTGGTGAGTGTCTTCATCAGCAAATATTTATGGAGCATCTTCAGCGTAGAAAACACTGTGGATACAGTAGTGAACAGGACAGGCAAAATCCCTAGTCAGTGTGTACATGTGTGAATGTGTGTACAGAGCGCCTTACAGTATGGAGATGGCAAATGGGTTTCAGTTTGGACACCAACTTTGGTTGAAGCGCATTGATGGCATGGACTGCCGTATTTTGGTTCTGTTTTTTGTGTTGTTGTTTTTTTAAATATATTTTTATTGATTTTAGAGAGGAAGGGAGAGTGAGAGAGATAGAAACATCAATGATGAGAGAATCATTGATCGGCTGCCTCCTGCAAGCCCCCTACTGGGGATCGACTCCACAACCTGGGCATGTGCCCTTGTCCGGAATCGAACCCAGGACCCTTCAGTCCACAGGCCGATGCTCTATCCACTGAGTCAAACCAGCTAGGGCTCTGTTTTGTTTTAATTTAATAAATATTTAAGTAGCCAGGTACTGTTCTAAGCACTTTAAAATGCTAACATCAGTTCTCACACAACTCTATGAGGTAAGTAGTACAGACTGTACAGATGAGGTAAGGCATGGAGATGGTCAGTAACTTCTCTCAAGGTAACATTACTGAAGTAGCAGAGCTGTGGAATTCAGACCCCAGGGAGTCTGTCTCCAGAGTCTCTGCACCACCAGCTAGGCTGCCTCTTCAAATAGAATGAGAACGATTGAGGCCCAACCAGACTTGTAGAAAAAGACCACTATGATGGACTAAAACGGTCAGCTGGGTATAGGAGGGAAAGTGGTGGCATGCATAGATTTCAAGCACCAAGACCCAGACTTCGTGCCATCATAGATAATAACGAGTTGTATGACTAGGAGAGAGCGTGGGGGAGAATCAATATTACCCTCATCTATACATAGATGGTACAGTGGAAACAGAATTGTGGAATTGGATTTAGTCTAATAATCTAGCCTCAAGTCCTAGCTTTGCCATGGACATGGCATATGATTCTGGAAAAAATCTCTTCAGTTCCTTGGACTTCATTTTCCTCATCTTTAAAATGAGCATGGGAGTCTTATACTCTACCCACAGGGAAAATGTGAGTATTAACGGGATGTATGCATGTGAAAGCAACTTGAAGACTCTAAGTGTTATGAGACAATGGTCTGATACTTTAAGGCTAAAAACTATAATGGTTTTTTTTTAAATTATATTGCAGAAGGGAAACAAAAAGCAGCTGACTTTGAAGACCTACTTTCTGGTCAAGGCTTCAATGCTCACAAAGACAAAAAGGGGCCTCGAACAATAGCTGAGATGAGAAAGGAAGAAATGGCTAAGGAAATGGATCCTGAGAAATTAAAGGTGAGTCCCTGGTCCAGTGTGATTATCCTGTATGACAAGGTTATGTGTGTGGAGCTGACAGGTTCCTAGTCCCCAGCTTCCGCAGTGCTTTCCTCCACTTTTAACCAGAGCCATTCTGCTTTTATCTGTTTCTGATTCTGGAAGTCTAAGAAGATTTGACTTGGAGAAAAAGAATGTTTCTCCATTTTTTTTTTTAAAGTTTGAAAACCAGCTCTTCTAACTGCTTTATTTCACAGATGATGAAACATGATAGTTCATAGATGAGGATGTTGTGTGGACAGGGGGATCCAGGTTAGCTTGGAAACAAAAGAGTGGTTATGTTGATGAGTTATGGAAGGTAGTGGAAGAACTTATAAACATCAAGAGAATAAGAATGCCCTTCATAGAGGGAGAAGTCCAGTTTCTATGTGACAAAATACTACATATGCTGCCACTATAACAAACTGGAAGGTGAAGGTCCAATCTGTTACTGCTGCAAAGGACTAGTACAGCCAGTCAGTCATTTGGAAAAAAATATAACACATTTTTAGACAGATTTGAACAGTTGTTGAGGATGTATATTTAGATTCTTTTTTTAAAAATATATTTTATTGATTTTTTACAGAGAGGAAGGGAGAGGGATAGAGAGTTAGAAACATTGATGAGAGAGAAACATCGATCAGCTGCCTCCTGCACACTCCCCACTGGGGATGTGCCTGCAACCCAGGTACATGCCCTTGACAGGAATAGAACCTGGGACCCTTGAGTCCACAGGCTGACGCTCTATCCACTGAGCCAAACCGGTCAGGGCTATATTTAGATTCTTGGGTACATGTTTAAGTACAGTAGAAAATCCTTTGTTGTATTTGCTTTTCTCTTCACATAACATCACAGAAGCTTTATGTTCCTTCCCAAAAGTTTGTGCTCCATCTTGGTAACTTTTGTTCATTAGGCAAACTGACAATCTCCTGTAAAAGAAAGTCATGTCTGTCTTTTAAGCCATGCTTGGTTTTATAGTTGGTACAGGGTATTTATTCATTTAGGAGCGTAGCCATCATTAACCTTGACTGAACCATTCATTCAATGAAAAATATGCTCTGAGCTCCTGCCATGTGCTCAGTGCTGATGCATTGTTATGAACCCACTCTCTTAATCACCTCATTTATTCAAAATATGAAGATCCAAGCTATGAATAGTTTGAGTGAACGTCTAAATGGATGAATTCCTTTGACAAGCCTTTTTAAAAATATATATTTTTATCGATTTCAGAGAGGAAGAGAGAGGGAGAGAGTGATAGAATCATCAGTGAAGAGAGAGAATCCTTGTTTGGCTGCTTCCTGCATGCCCCACACTGGAGATCGAGACCTCAACCTGGGCATGTGCCCTGATGTGAATTGAACCATGACCTCCTGCTTCATAGGTTGATGCTCAACCGGCCAGGCTTACCAAACCTTTTTGAGCTCTATTCTGTGCCAGGAGAGTTATTTGGTTTCTGAGAAACAGTGTTATGTAAGAAATAGTACCTTTCCTCAAACAGCTCTGCCTCACGGCAGGGAAGGACAAACACACAGACAATTACAATGAACGGTGGCACATATTATGATAGAAACATATTTAAGGAAGTAGCCTGGAGAAATTCTTTTTTTTTTTTTCCAAGGGGCATTTATTTTATATTAGTTTGCCAGACACTGTACCAGGCAGAATTGGATAGCAGAGACCAAAATAGACATGGGGTATGTCCCCATGGAGTGTATACTTTAGGAATGAATAATTCACTCTGGGGTGGGGCAGAGAGGAAGGAATTCAGACTCTCAGAGGGGAACAGTATGAAATTCCTCAGCCGGCTTTTGAAGGATGATGAAGAGTTAACCAGAAAGAGAAGGCAGGAAGTGGAGGGGGAAAAGCTTTCCAGGTAGAGGAAGCAGCATGGAGTAGCAGGGGGCCTCAGGCACTTTGATGTTGCTGGAGCAGGAGGGATTCCCGAGAGTCCCAATAGAGACCTTCTGAATTTCTTAATCCCCTGTATTTACAGATTCTGGAATGGATTGAAGGCAAAGAGAGAAATATCCGAGCACTTCTCTCCACGATGCACACGGTGCTGTGGGCTGGGGAGACCAAGTGGAAGCCGGTCAGCATGGCAGACCTGGTCACGCCAGAGCAGGTGAAGAAGGTGTACAGGCGAGCTGTGCTGGTGGTGCATCCCGACAAAGTGAGCATAGCCCACCCTATTGTATTGCCTGTTTGCTCCTCATTTCACTAATTTATAAACATGTATTAAAACAGCATACCTTCTTTTTTTAAAAAAATATTCCTTTTATTAATTTCAGAGAGAGAGGAAGGGAGAGCTGAGAGAGAGAAACATCAATGATGAGAGAGAATCATTGACCGGCTGCCTCCTGCATACCCCACACTGGAGACCGAGCCCATAACCTGGGTATATGCCCTGACTGGAATTGAACCATGACCTCCTTCCTGGTTCATGGGTCGATGCACAACCACTGAGCCACACCAGCTGGGCAAAGCTACATACTTTCAATTTGCTGGTTATTAGGCCATTTATATGATAAAATAAAGTTCACGGGCTAAAATCCAGTATTTAAAAAAGCGTTATAAAGTGGATAAAAAAATCAAACTACATATTACAAATAATGGATGGGGGCTTTCCTTACAGAGGAATATCACCAGTGACTAAAGTTTAGGATCTCCAAGAACTTAGCTATTTTTAGAAATGGGAAAATGGGAGTTTAGAAATACAATCAGTTAGAGATAGGCTGTCGTAATCCTTTGTCATTTGGTAGATAATTCTGGAAAACTTCTGGAGAATAGAGAATAATCTTTTGCTGCCCAATAAATTCTCTGTTATCTACTCATTGACCTACCATATGTGAATTTCTAGGGAGAAGGCATTCTGTGGCGGTCACAGTAATGAGGGGCACATAGATTGGGCTGTAAGAGGAGAAATGGCTTCATAGAAAAACATTTCAATAGCATAGAGCCCACATATTAGCAGTGAAAATTTAATATAAATAAAATTCTGGTCTGTGGTATCTAATGTGTGTTTTGTTTTTTCTATAGGCTACTGGCCAACCCTATGAACAATATGCAAAGATGATTTTCATGGAGCTCAATGATGCCTGGTCTGAATTTGAAAATCAAGGCCCAAAGCCCTTGTATTAATTTATGAGCTTTTCCATCTCTGCTGCAGACCTGTGCTAATGCTTAGTGTATGTCAGTTCTGAGGTTTTCAAAGATGAACCAAAAACTCCAGTAACATGTATCCAGTACTAAACTGTTAAATTACTCGTGAATTACTTCCTCAATGATAAGGAATGTGGATGTTTGTTTTCTCAAGTCCCCACCATAAAAGGTCCAAAGCAGGAGAGGACTTTTTAGTCAGCTGACCTTGCAGAGTTGCAACATTCCAGCCTGCCCTTTGAGGAACCTCCTCAGCACATTGTGGGGAAACGGAAAACAGACGCCACAGAAGCATAAAACCCATCTCATTGTCTGGGAATAGGATTAATGAGCAGAAGTCATGATAACAGGATTACATGAAGGATTTTAACTAATGGTTTTTAGATTTTCTTGGAAAGATATAATTTACGCAATGGCTTTAGACTCCAGGAATACAACCACTGAGTTTTTTGTTTTTGTTTTTTTTTTAACGGACATTGACTATGGTCTTTAACATAACACTGTATACTTTGGGTCAAGAGGACTAACAGATGCAAGTGAACTTGAATTGTGGGAAGTGATTATACTACAATCCAGTGATGACCACAAACTCTTAAAATTAGTGAAAATGTTGGATAAAGAAAATAGCCACTCTGTAAAAAATTTTAATCCTGGTCAGAAAGGTAGGCTGCTACCTTCCTATCCCTTTAGAAAACTGGTTGCTTAATGAAAGAAGTCTTAATACCGTAACAACAACTCAACCTGATTTGAAAGAAACTTCTAATTTTGCCCTTAGGCTTAATGCTCTTCCCTTTGCTTAGCCGAGAACATGTTCTTAGCTTGTCGTGAAGCAGTTTGGCACATTCACAAGTTATCAGGACGATCCCTAGAGTGGACTGAATGCCCTCTAGGTTTGTGAGTGGTTGTGGTGTGAGCGTAGAAGACAACACTGAACACTCGTAACCAAACAGGTACAGTTGCAGTGAGGAAGCTGGGCTGATCTTCAGACCCAGTCAGATGGCTTGTCAAGATTTTTAGGTTCCTCTCCCCAGCTGGTAGATTGAATTCCTTGGATTATCAGTGGGGTTTATTGTTTTAAAAGTTGTTGGGGATCCACAGGAACAGCATTCACACAGGGACATCTGTGAAAGCAAAGCAAGAATGAAACCTTTACGGACTTTAAATGGGTTGGATTTTAGTTCACTGTTTTGGCTGTTTGTGGTTTTAAGAGGTAAGCAGTTGTTATCCTGTGACTGTAGTAGATCTCTTTGGTGCACACATAGACAGTGAGCATAGTATATATATGCAAAGCAGATGGGCAAAAAGATTCCCATGATAATATTGTGAAAAGCTTTCAAAAATTGTTTTCCAAGACAATCATTTTTTTTCTACTTTAATTTTCATGTGGCAAACTGTACCAGAGAAGCAGCATGTCAAAATGCTTTATGTTCCAAATTAGAAAAAAGAAAAAAATGCTTTATGTTCCATGTAGAACTTTTTTTTCCTCTTTTTTTGTTAAAAGGATTTATTTTCTATTTTACTTTTTACTGACAATGTGAAACTCGCAAAAAATGTTCTTTTAAAATATACAGCTATAAACTGTTCAAGGCAACCATAACAAACTAGGTGTTATTTATTAACATATTATAAAATAATGTTTGATCCAGTATGTGCTTGTCTTATTTAAAATTGGAATGTGAGACATGTTGCTGTGACTTGGTTTTATTCTCATTCACATTTGTAGATATTGTGTGAACTACAGTATATAATGATAATAATTAAAAGGATATGTGAATGCCACCTACATTTTGAAATGATAGAACTATATTAGCTTTGTATCATGTTTGGGTAATTCATCACTGTTCACAGTTTAAAACATCATTAAACATTATGTAATTAGCAATGAGAAAGAATCTTACCTAACTTAATTTTGGGTTCCCCCATCTCTTTTCCAAATATGTTATAACTCTGGAGCCCTATTTATCTTAAAACCCTTAACATATGCAGACCAACAGGTTTTTGCATTCCTTTTAAATATCTGGTTGTGACAGAGCTTCTTGTTGGTCAAATTCGCCGTTTCATTCATTCATATTTATTGTAATATATTTTTGTTTTGTAAATATGTTACACACAACAAAATGTGATTGGTTTAAAATATTTGTAATGTATATTAAAAGGCTCAAAAATATATTTGTAGAAATCTGTTATTTTTGCACTCGTAGGAAAATAATGACAAGCTTGAATTATACCTTCTGACATGATTTGCATTTTTAAAAAGTTACGGGCAAAGAATATGGAAAGCATAGAATACATTTGTACCAAAATGTAATCTGACAGGATTTCTGCATTTATACTCTAACCACCCCAACTGCCACCCTTGCCCCATGGCACACACAGTTTGATCATGCTACATGAATACTATGTTTCAAAAAGAATCAGCATAGAAATCCTGGTCTCCTAGCTAGAATATTAATGGGTTTCAAAGATTCATTTGCATGCTAAAGCAGGGGGATTGATTCTGGGAGTTTTAATAAGTGTACCTTCCATCTATGAGGAGACATAGGAGGAGTGAGGAAAATAAACAAACAGGTAATTAAACATGTGTTGAGACTGTAGTATGCTCAGTATACAGTTTTGAAAAAGTAAACCGGGAGGAATCTGAAAGGTGGTGGGGGTGAGAATTTGTACTTCTCAGGTAGCCAGGGAAACCCTGGGTTCCCATGAAACCCTTTATCTTTAAGTTTTGTTGAAAATTAAGCAAAAGCAATCAAAGAGGGGCAGGGCCCTACAAAATGGCCCTCTGGGGAGGGCTCAGGTCCTAGACAGTGATGGTGAACCTTTTGAGCTCGGCGTGTCAGCATTTTGAAAAACCCTAACTTAACTCTGGTGCCGTGTCACATATAGAAATTTTTTGATCTTTGCAACCATAGTAAAACAAAGATTTATATTTTTGATATTTATTTTATATATTTAAATGCCATTTAACAAAGAAAAATCAACCAAAAATATGAGTTCGCATGTCACCTCTGACACGCGTGTCATAGGTTCGCCATCACTGTTAGGAGAGAGATCGCGGTGCACGGTGGGGGATACCCGGAGCCAGCGGCTTTGCGGGAATGGCCCAGGATGTGGATCAGGAGGCAGGCGCCGAGCTCCGTGAGGTGGGGGAGGAGCCAGGCGAGGTGGGGGCGGAGTTATGGGCGTAATGGGGCGGGGCTCTACGTGGCGGGGCGGGCTCGGCCCGCGGTACCGCCCCTGGCCGGGCGTGGGCGGGGCTGTGGCTGGAAACCGGAAGCAGCCGCGGCCCCAGCTCGGGAGACATGGCGGGCATTAAAGGTACATCCGCGGCCGTGGCCGCCGCTCGCCGGTCCTGTGTAAAGTTGGAGCTGTGCTTTCAGCGCGTGGGCGGGGAGCGGCCTCCCCCAGACCCGCCGAGCACCCCGCCTCTGCGGGTGGGAATGCGCGCGCCCACCCCCTTCGCGTCTTGGGTTGCGGGTGGAGGGTGTGTGGGGAGCCGCAGCCCTGTTTGTTTTGTTTTTTTGCTAGGCCACTGGCCGAGCCCTCGCGGGGAGTGGTGCCCGCCTGGGGGACCCGGCCCGCCTGGAGCATCCCCTCCCAGCTCCTCGGAAGGCCCCCCCACCCCCCGCACCGCCGAGTTTTCACCAGGGTCCCACTTCCTGGCGTGTCCACCCAGACGCCCCTTCTCTTTCCTCCTGCCGCTCCGCGAGCCTTTGTCTGCAGCGCTCTCGGCTCTGGGGCACCTAATCCTCTTGTTCCTTGAGGATGTTTTCCAAGGAGGCCGAGTCGACTGCAGGCGGGTGTTCGTGGAAAGCACCCAGAAATGCTGCATTTCTCGTAATTGTGGAGAGCAAATTAGGTGGCATTTTATCGTTACTTGCATCTTTGGACAGACGAGAAAGGGGTGTTTGTGCAGTATGTGTTTTTGAATGGTGCGGTTGATAAAAAAAGGGGGTGTGGTTGATAAGACGGGGGTACCGAGAACACCGCTTCCCTGATCTGTGTGCCTTCAGAGGACTGGGGGACACCGGCGTTGGGAGAGATTATTGGAAGGTTTCCTGTTATTTTGGGAAGAAACCATTAGATTTGTAATCTTTTGAATAGCGGGCATAACTTGTTTCTTTGCTGGAGTTCCTCTTTTCTTTAAAACGTGTACCCAAAGATCTCCCCACCTGCTGTAAACTTGTATACAACATATTTGCACGCATGGGTATGTTCACTGTGAAATCTATCTGGGCGTGTGAGCTGTTGGCAGCAGACACATTTTATCATTATTTCTGGGTGGCCCTATATTCCACATCCGTTGAGTAAACAGGATGTATTTGGACAGTGACCCCTGGGTAATACAGCCACTTGAAGCCAGTGCAGAAAACAGTTGACAAAGGTAGCATCTGTATTGCGCCGTTTAGTCATGCCCAGAAACTATCAAATAATAACGCTTAGGTGTGAACGTGTTAGAAATGGTGAAGGAAGCTAGGTTATGACATGGAAAAGGATTAAGGGAAGGAAGCTTTTACAGGTAACTCGGGGATTACTGTCTGCCTGAGACTTGGGATAAAAAGATACCTGGGAAATTGTTGGGCAAGGAGTTGGAAGTAGTTACTATTTTCCTAGCTTAAGGCATGCTCAGGTACAGTGGGAGCACCAAGATGGTGTTGTGGTTGAGTCATGTCTCTTGAATAGATATGATCTGACTCCCCCAGGACCTGTCAGTGTGACTTTTTCTGGAAATCAGGTCTTTGCAGATGTAATCAAGTTAAGTTAATATTGGATTCGATTGGGCCCTCACCCAAGGACTATTGTTCTTATAAGAGAAATTTGGACATGGAGACATATAGGGACACCATAGGAAGATACCATATGAAGATGAAGGCAGAAAGAAGAGCAAGGCAGCTGCAAGCCAAGGAGCACCAAAGATTGCCGGAAGCCACTAGAACATGGACACCATGAAGGACACCGACGCCTTCCCTACACCGCGAAGCCTCCAGAACTGGAGAAAATGGATTTCTGTTGTCCTAAGCCACTCAGTTGGCACATTGTTAATAGCAGCCCTAGTAACTAGTACAGATGGGATCGCTTGACCCTGCTTTGGGGACAAGGAGGACCCTTTCTACAGAAGAGGCAATCCTTGAATGGAAGCTAAAAGGATCAGTAAGGCTTCGCCTGGCAAAGGCTGGGGTGAGGATAGAGTTTATTCCAAGTGGAGAGAACAGCATGTGGCACGGAGCAGAGGGCATGAAAGAGCACACCTGTTCTCTCCACCAGGAGCTTCGTCTGTGCTATTGAGACTGGATCTCAGTGGGAGAGCGGTGAGGCAGTCAGGGATCAGACCACGTTGATCCTCAAGTGCCAGAACAACTTGTCGGCTATGAAAGCAACTTCGAAGAGGCGACACCAGCTTTGTATATTTGAGAGAACACTGTCTGCTGTGAAGAGGGTGGATTGGAAGAGATGATTAGAGGCAGGCACGGGATGATAAGGGCCTGTGCTAAGGCAGTAGCAGAGGGTTCAAGAGAAGCAGGCTGCTATAAAGTGGGTGGCTTAAACAGAAACTTTATTAATTCTGGAGTTTGGGAAGTCCAAGGTCAAGATGCCAGCAGTTTGCTATGAGGGCCTGCTTCCTGGTTTATAGACAGCCATCCTCTTGCTGATTCCTCACATGGTGGAAGGGGTAAGGGAGCTCTTTGGGGTCTCTTCTGAGGGCACTAATCCCATTGATGAGGGCTCTGCCCTTGTGGGCTGATCTCCTCCCAAAGGCCTCGCCTCTCAGTACCATCACACTAGGCCTTAGGATTTAACAAGAGTTTTGAGGGTTGAGGTGGGGGTGGCATACAAGCTTTCAGTCTATAGCAGTGAGGTCTGGGAGATTGAGTCACCTTGATTTGATGTTTTTCTAGAGGAAATAGTGCAATGGTGGTGTTGGTGTTTCAAGATAGAACCTTCAAAGGGAAGAAATGTGTGTGTGGGAGGAGGGAGTGGGGATGTGTCAGTTTTTGACATCTTGAATTTGAGGTCCTTGTTGGCTACTCAGAGGGAGAAGACGAGATTGGAGTTGGAGGTGCAGCATTTATGTGGCCAGACCCTTGTAGTGCCAGGGAGCTTTGGGTTGAATGCATCATCTCGACAAGAGCATAGAGTGAAAAAAGATGGAGTTGGAATCCCGGTCAGCTCCAACTTTAAGAGGCAGAGAGGAAGCAATTTCTGAAAAAGAAAAAAAAAAGGAATAAAAAGAATCAACCAGAGATATACAGTTGTGTATACAGTTGTGAACCCTGAGGGACAGGGTTCACAACTGTATACACAACTGAAAGAAGAGGTCTGCAGTCCCTAGCTTTGAAAGCTGTCTTGGAGGAGGGAGCAGTACAGATAGATGGTCAGGCACAGCGAAGGGACAAAGCCAACTAGGAAGAGATTCTCCTTAATGAAATAATACATAAAAACTTACTTTTGTACATTTTTCTTTAAAAAGTGACACCTACTAAATAGAAACATATACAAATTAAAATTATTCTTTCCTTGTCCTCTAATACCTACATACTTCTAGGTGTTTCTTAAAAGCACTTTGGCATCTTCCTATAAAACATTCCCTCCAAATCTCTTAATGTAGCAGTAAGCAATGAGAATGTTGGTTAGTTTAATCAGTGACTTAATTTTGAGTGTTAGGTATTTTTTTCAGAAGGATATTTGGATAGTATAGTGTCCTATGCTTCTGATTTATACCATTATCAAAGAACATTGCTAAAATGGGCAGATACCTACATCAATCAACATTTACTTATTGAATCCCTCCTTTTGCCAACCACTTTACATAGATTATCTCATTTAATTACTATAAGCTCCCTAATAAGGTGGTACCATTATTACTACTTTACAGGTGAGAAATCAGACTTAGATAAGTTTAGCTTCTACACAAGGTCACACAACCAGTTGGTGGCAGAGAAGATTTGAACAAATGTTGGTGACTCAGAGCTCAAGATTTTTTAACACGTTAGCAGCATAAGGACAGATGTTTCCTCTCCCCTCAGAGATTAGTGTCTCCAAATGCTTAAAATACTAAGGTTTGAGGAGGCAAAAATGATCAAAGTGTATATATTTCAAAGAAGCAGTTTTGCATATAACTTAAGGAAAGAGGTTTTCAACATTTAGAAACTATCAGGATGAAATGACCTGCCTCAGGTGGTAGTGACTTTCCTTTCACTGGAGTTGTACAGACTGGCTGGCTGCCCTCTTCTGACAAATATAGAGGGAATTAATACAGTAGATAGAGGATGGGTACTGGAAATTCTTGAGACCTTTCTCCATCTAATGATTTAAAAGTGGTGAGCATAGGCAATGATATGCTAGTCAAATGTAGCATCAACTAATGAAATAAGTAAATTGCTACATTTGCTTAAATTGTGGACTTAATTTTTTTAATTAAAATTTTTTATTGAGATATATTCACATACCACAAAATTAACCCTTTTAAAATGTTAAATTCTGTGTGTGTTTTTAATATATTCACAACCATCACTACTATCTAATTCCAAAACATTTCATCACCCCCAAGAGAAATTCTATACCCAATATAGTCACTTCTCATTCCTCCCCTCCTCCCCTAGCCCCTGGCAACCACTGATCTAGAACCTGTAACTCTTGGCTTTATCTTTCACAGCTCTTGTGTTATTATCCTTCAGTGGGGCTATTGGACTGACTTTTCTTATGCTGGGATGTGCCTTAGAGGATTATGGGTAAGTTCTTTTAAAAAAAACAACTGTTCTTTTTGTGTCTTTGTCACTATTTTGTGTGTATGTGTCATGAGTGTTAGGGAGTTTGGTCAATTTAACACCAGACTCCAACCAATGAGTTAGTGAAGCCCAAATTATGAATCCAATCCCTTCATGGGTCAGTTGTACTTGCACAGAGAAAAGCTTTTTTTAAAATCGATATATTCATTTAATAAGCACTTACTGACTACCTTCTCTGGATCAGCTGGGAATGCAAGAATGAAGAGACAGCCCTAGCTGGTTTGGCTCTGTAGATAGAGTGTTGGCCTGCGGACTGAAGGATCCCGGGTTCAATCCCGGTCAAGGGCACATGGCCAGGTTGCGAGCTCAATCCCCAGTATGTGCAGGAGGCAGCCGACCAATGATGTTTCTCTCTCATCATTGATGTTTCTATCTCTCCCTCTCCCTTCCTCTCTGAAATCAATAAAAATATATTAAAAAAAAAAAAAAAAAGAATGAGGAGACATAGTCCTGTCTTCAAGGAGCTTACATTGAGTGAGAGACAGGTAAACTATCCAGTTAGTAAGCAAGCTGTAGTGGAGATATGCGAAAAGTACAGTGAGAGCTTTGAGAAAGTGCATCAGAGTATCACGAGTTTCCCGGGACAGTTGTGGGGGCTGCACAGAAGTTGCCTTTTAGCTGAGACTGGTGGATAAATGAGAGTTTATCAGGCGGAGTCGGGAGGGAACATTCAACTAATTGCTTTATTCACAAGTGTTGGTTGAGTGCTTGCTGTTTTCCAGCTGCTGTTATGGGAACTGGGGATTAAGAAATAAGAAAACAAGAGTCCTGCTCTGTTGGAGTCTGTATTTCAGAGGGGGAGACAGACGATAAACAGATTTTAAAATGTGCATGCTGCCCTGGCTGGTGTGGATCAGTTGGTTGAGCATTGTCTCATGCACCGAGAGGTTGCTGATTTGATTTCTGGTCAGGCACATGCTTCGGTTGTGGGCTCAATCCCCAGTAGGAGGGTGAAGGAGGCAGCCAATTGATGATTCTCTCTCATCAATGCTTCTCTCTCTCTCTAAAAATCAATAAAAATAATTAAAATAAAATATACATGCTATCAGAGGTAGAAGTGTTATGAAGAATAAAGGGTAAAGGGCACAGGGGATGGTGGTTATTGTATTGAAATGGTGGACCATTGGGGATAGGGCAATATAACCATGAGATGTGAATTGAGACCAAATTTTTCCATAAGTGAAGATCAGGTAAATGGAAGTTAGTCAGGTCTTATCGGCCTTCATTACAAAAAATACTCTGGATCATTTCTATCCTGTGAACTATCATGATCCAAGTTTTGCCATCTGTTCCATTTTTCTGTATTTTTCATTTAGTATAACACATATATAGCTATACAAAGAGTATTATCATATACATCTTTAGTAATCATAAGCAGTTGGACTATTAGCAAAACCCAAAGAACAAGTATATTATTATAACATATCATTAGCATACAGGTAAAAACAAACTGGTTTCTGAGTTTAGCATTGATCCGAAGATATACAGACACAGGCCTTGTCAGTGTCTTGGGATAGCTGTCTATCTCTGATGTCAGTGGCTTCTCATTCTAGAGGAGTCTTTGATGTCTGTTGTAGGCGGAGGCAAGTGTCAGAGATGGGTAGATGTCTGTTCGTGGTTAGATGCTGATAAGGTCCCTTCCAGTGAGGTTGGAGAGTGTGTTTTATTTGATGTCCTTTCCAGTAAACAAAATCTCTAGGTGGTAGTTAATGATTCTTAGTCTTTTGTCTTCTGGTTGCTTCCTGGGAAAGGAAGCGGTTACCCATTTGGCATTTTCTGATAGTGACTTTATCAAACCTTGACAATAGTGTAAGCTGTCTCCTTTCAATAATGGCAGCTCATAAGTTCCTTCATCTAATCTAAGTCCAGCTTGAATGCAGTATGAGGCATGAAGGAATGTATAAATACTGAAAAAAATGGTGTTTGCCAGGGAGCCTCAAAGAACCAAGTAGCCATCTTGGGTTTCCCATATCCCCAACTATTCATTTTATTTACAGCCATTTTTTTACCCTGGTAGCATACCCTAGTGATGAAGTCTTTCATCACTTATTTTACAGTGCTTCCCATGCAATTTAACATACAAAAACAGCCCTGATTAGTTTAAAACGTCTCTGTTGTAAGAAGAGAGAACAGATCTTTTTGAGTTGTTCCAGGGTTCATTTTGGAGCACAGGAAACTTATTCCTACATATGTTGAGATTTTAACCCTTAAAACCTTAATTTCCAATGAAAACTAAGAAGTAAATTTATGAACACATTTTATAAACTCTAGAAACATTTCATAGATGTAAAATTCAGTTATTAACATGGACTTACTTTTATAAAAACCCTGGAAAAAAACATAATATAACTGTATTATATTTAAAATATCAACTCAAAAGGCACGTCTGTTCTGCCTAAACCAACAAACTTAAACTAGCTTTTATTTATTAAGGGTTAATCTTAGATCATGTGACCTTACAAAGCATTTGAGTTAGTTTCTATATTTCTGAGAATTTTGAAATACCCAATCACAAGTGCTTGCCTTTAAATTAATTTTAATAATGCCATCCGGAGGTAGAAAATTATCTCACATTTTCAGTGTTCACATGTAGTCACAAACAGAGACCTTTGGCTATGAGAAAAACTCACTAATGTGTAAAAAAACAGTTGGACCCAAATTTTGTTTTGAGGCATTTATAATTTATATTGTTGATGTAAGAAATGTCTAAATCTGTGGAGGATTTTTATAAGCCTTTATTTAAGCCAAACCTGACAACAATTGCTGGAAAGCAAGATCTCAAATGCTCGGAAGAATGATAGTTTTTGGAGTTTCTTTTATGCATTTGACATTAAGGAGAGAATGCAATTACCGAAGATTACCTGAAGTTGGGAGAAAACAAGGTACATTTAACAAGATTATGTGCTCTCTTGAGGGAAGCTATGCTTATTTCAAAGGTGTATTAACCTGGATACACAGAAAAATACACAGGGCTTGCTTAAGGCAAAGATAAATCTTTCACTAAAGAAGCTATATGCTGCCCAGCCAGTGTGGTCAGTGGTTGAGCATCGATTCATGAACAAGGAGGTCATAGTTTGATTTCCAGTCAGGGCACATGCCAAGGTTGTGAGCTTGATCCCCAGTGGGGGTCGTGCAGGAGGCTGCAGATCAGTGATTCTCTTTTATCATTGATATTTCTATCTCTTTTTCCCTCCTGCTTCCTCTCTGAAATCAATAAAAAACAAACAAACCATATTTGGTAAAAAGAAAGTTATATGCCTGGAGCGTGACTACCCACCATGACCTGCTCATTTAAGATTTTATGATCAGATCTTCTTGTGAGATTATATTTCATCACTGAACTTGTATATACCCACCCCCCTCCTTTTTTTTGTCCACAATGGCTTCCTGTAAATGGGAACATAGATTTTCTTTAGAAAACTTATTGTTTTCTAGGAAGAATTAAGAGCTCTTTGCTGTGAGTATGTCAGGAAGCAGCTGGGTCTAGTCCAGTCCTTTTTTCCAACCTGTGTCTGTTTCCTCACTTGTTCAATAATGGCTTTGAACTAGAGAATTTCTAAAAAAACCTAACTATTGTTTTGTGATTCTTTTTAAAAGAAAAATGTTTTTATTGATTTCAGAGTGGAAGGAAGAGAGAAAGAGGGAATCATTGATTGGCTGCCTTTTGCTGCCCCCCTACTGGGAATTGAGCCTGCAACCCAGGCTTGTACTCTGACCTGGTATCAAACCATGATCTCCTGGTTCATAGGTCGATGCTCAACCACTGAGCCATACTGGCTGGGCTATTTGGTGATTCTTGAAATATACTGTATTTCATTTAAAATAATTTTAAAATGATATTTAAAATAATATTAACTTTGAAACAGTAGAATGTCTTAACTGTAACTTTTCTTTTTGCATTTCTCCTGGGTCCAACCAACAGTGTTTATTGGCCCTTGTTCGTCCTGATATTTCACGCCATCTCTCCCATTCCTCATTTCATTGCCAAAAGAGCAACATATGACTCTGATGCAACAAGCAGTGCCTGTCGGGAACTGGCATATTTTTTCACTACTGGGATTGTTGTTTCTGCCTTTGGATTTCCTGTTATTCTTGCTCGTGTGGCTGTGGTGAGTTTTGTTCTCTATTGTTTTGCCCAGTTGTCACTGAGTTTACTTCAAAGGCCTCTGTCTGGACCACTATTTCATTTTCATTGCTTAGACTCAAAGCCAGGCATATTTTCAGTTAATCTAGTCCACACTTTAGATCTACCTAACAATATCCTAGCCATATTTACAGGATGCTTTCTTAGTTTCTCATAACTTTTAGCCAGGCCAAATGACTTCTTGCTTTCTCTACTTTAAGCTATTATCTGGAATTGTTCTTAAGTCCTTGCCTTCTATCTTAGGGCAGTCCATAGAGACTGCAATAACAATACTTTTCTAGTTTCAAAATGAACATCTAAATGAGTCCTGATCACCCAATTTCAATGTGTGTGGTGTGGGAGTTTCCCCCCACACCTCCAACGAGCAATTCTCCAACACCAGCGGGGTGTCCAACAATTCATCTCGATTCCGACACTGTCTACCCAGAAATAGTATTAGATCCCACATGTTAAGGGTTTAGTCCCACATGACTGCCCTCTGTTTCAGTTGCCAATCAAAAGTCCAGGTTGTCACTTGAGCTTCTGACTGATTGGCTATAGATCAGAGGTCTCCGTGACCCTTATCGTCAGTTTAATTGATTTGTTCACAGAATTCAGGAAACCCATTTACTCACTGCATTACTAGTTTAATTACAAAAGGAAGAGCCTGATGGGAGAGCTGCATAGAGGAGTTTCCAGAATGCATCACTCTGCCCCAATCACCAGCCTGGAAGTTCTCCAAATACCTTCATTTTGGGTTTTTATGGAGGCTTTATAACATAGGCATGATCAGTCAAATCATTGGCCACTGGTGATTGAATCAATCTCCAGCCCCCTCCCCCCCTTTCCCTTCCCCAAAGGTCAAGGGAGAGTGGGACTAAAAGTTTTGTCCCTCTAAGCACATGCTTGGCCTCTCTAGCAACCAGCCCCCGTCCCTTGGTGCTTTCCAAAAGTCACCATCCTATATAATAAAAGCCTAATATGCTAAAGGTCCGGTCATCTGTTCAACCAATCAAAGTGTAATATGCTAAGGCCACTCAACCACTCACTGTGGCGTGCACTGACCACCAGGGGGTAGATGCTCCGACCGGTAGATTAGCTTGCTGCTGATCGGGACTGAGCGAGATGGGCTGGATACGCTCTGGAGCCCTCCCGCAGACCCTGTTCTGCTGGCCAACCTGCTGCATCCCTCCGGCCTGATTATGCACCGGTGGGCTCCCTTGGCCTGGCCTGCGCCCTCTCGCAATCAGGGACCCCTCAGGGAATGGCAGAGAGCCGGTCCTGCAGGCCAGGCCTCTAGTATTAACATAATAAAAGCCACCTTTATCACTGTTATCACTTAGAAAATTCCAGGTGTTTTAGGAGCTATGTGCCAGAAAGGAGAAGATCAAATATATCTAATCTAATAAAAGAGAAACATGCAAATTGACCATACCTCTGCTACGCCCCAAGCCACACCCACCAGCCAATCAGAGCGACTATATGCAAATTTACCCAACCAAGGTAGCAGTGGCCGGCAGCCACGGAGCTGGAGCAAGCAGGAGGCTTGGTTGCCCAGGCAATGGAGGAAGCCAAGCTTCCCACCTGCCCTGGCCTGCTGTGGCCTCTGCTCAAGGCAACAAAGTTTCAATTATAGAAGATAAATAAATCCCAGATACCTGCTTCCAGCCAGCCTCCACTGGGAGCTTGGGTGGCTGGGGGCCATGGCCAGCCTGCAAACAGCCATCAGCCCCTCACCCAGGCTGCCCAGGCACCCCAGTGGGGACCCCCCTCCCTGAAGAGGGTGTGGCCAGCCTGAAAACGGCCCTCAGCCCCTCACCCAGGCTGGCCAGGCACCCCAGTGGGACCCCCACCCTGATCCAGGACATCTTTCAGGGAAAACCAGCTGGCCCCCACCCATGCACCAGGCCTCTATCCTATATAATAAAAGGGTAATGTGCAAATTGACCCTAACAGCAGAACGACTGGGAATGACTGGTCACTATGACACACACTGACCACGAGGGGGCAGAAGCTCAATGCAGGAGCTGCCCCCTGGTGGTCAGTGCGCTCCCACAGGGGGAGCTCTGCTCAGCCACAAGCCAGGCTGACGGCTGCCAGTGGTGGTGTTGGGAGCCTCTTCTGCCTCCTCAGCAGTGCTAAGGATGTCCAACTGCAGCTTAGGCCTGCTCCCCGCTGGCAAGTGGACATCCCCCCGAGGGCTCCTGGGCTGCCAGAGGGATGTCTGATTGCGATCTTAGGCCCAATACCCCGGGGAGCAGGCCTAAGCCAGCAGATGGACATCCCCCGAGGTGTCCCAGACTTATGAGAGGGCACAGGCTGGGCTGAGGACCCACCCAAGTGTACAGATTTTTGTGCACCAGGCCTCTAGTATTACTATAAAACACAGTACCATAATATCATATCAAATTCTTCTTCAATAGGATCATGGACACAATTCTCAAGTCAACACAGTAAGTATATGTTGAGGGACAACTAACTATATAGCTATTAGAAAATAGAGTGAATAAAAAACACATTGTGGGTGTATTTATTCCATTCTTTGACATCCACTGTCTTTTATACTCTATTTTTTTATTTATTTTTAAATAGTGATTTTTTTTATACTCTTTATTTTTATTCCCCCAATTACATACTCTTTCAATTTCATGAAACTTATTGGGACATTGAATATCAAATATGTACAAATCTTATTTATTCATTTAGTAAATATTTTTGTAACATCTGCTATTTGTCAGACACCAGGAATAAGAGCCAGATGCTGTCTCTGTTCCCAAAGAGCACAGAAACGAACCTGATGGTTAAGCATATAATACCGTAAATGCACTATGTGGTAATTAAAACAGTATCAGAATGCCTTGGGAACACAGAGAAATACTGTCTGGCATTTGATGTGGTTTTTGATAAATCGGATTTTGATTAAAGTAGGGAAGGCTGTTAAATGGAATGGCATCCAACTGTGGAAATGCAATTAATATGTGGAATAAAGAGCAGTAGTCCGATATGATGGAGCAAAAAGGAGTAATTGAGATTGAGGTTAGAAAGGTTGGTGAAGCCTGATCAGGAAGGGTTTTGAATGTCCTACTAGTTTGAACTTTACCTAGATAATAGAGAAGCATCAGTGGTGTTTGAATGCAAGATTGTCATGACCTTATTGTTTTTATTCCTCAGACTAAATACTTCTTAAATTTTGCTGTAAAGATTTGTATTTTTACCTTTCATTACTACATCATGTTATATGAAGCAACTTCCATTGTTGTTTTCTATTGGTTAAATTAAAACAAAAAATGCCCACTAGAGGGTACTCTCATCCCCAACTGTACCTCTGTAAAATCATCTGCCACGCTGAGAAGCTGTTTTCATTTGCATGCAGATTATTTTTAAAAATCTTTTCTTGCCTAGAAAAGAAACAAATCCGTAATTCTCTAATTCCTGTTTTCGTGAAAGAAGGCAATGTGTATAGAACTTTCAGTACCCAATGTTGCAATTGGACCTTTTATAATAAGCTGCATGTATTTTACTTAAGGCCATCATTGTCTGCTGAAAGCAAGTAGAGAAATATGTCTAATGGAGAAAATGTTACGGATGATACTAGACTTAATTAACAAGCATCATGAAGTAATTAGACTAATTACTGAATAGTTCACTGTCTCCTGCCTGTTACATTAAGCCTTTTAGCAGTTTTATGTAATATTTCATTGAATTTTTCTAATGCAGAAAATAACAGATTTACAAAGAATGTAATATGATGAAACTAAATATTTAATCCTTTTTTCTTGTGTTTCAGATCAAATGGGGAGCGTGTGGCCTTGTGCTGGCAGGCAATGCAGTCATCTTCCTTACAATTCAAGGTTTTTTCCTTGTATTTGGAAGAGGAGATGATTTTAGCTGGGAGCAGTGGTAGCACTATATTCTGATAAAACGCATTTAATTTCTTATAATTCATACTATATGTGTGTGCACATGTGGCTTTTTGCTATGAAATTCAATATGCTGGGGTTTTTTTTTTATACTTTTATATCATGTTCACTTTAAGGAGGACTGTATGAGAAAGAGATTTGTTTTAGTACCAGCAAATAGACCACTCCATGTACTCACGTTGAATTATGTTACTTGGCTCTTCATATAGTCATGGTGCTCTCAGAAAATATATTAACACAGTCTTGTAGCCAGCTGCTCACATATGCAATGCATCTACACCTTTTGCCTGGGGATGTGCTTGGATAGGAGCAGGTCTCAGTTCTGCTCAGGATTTCAAGATACACTTGTGGCCCAGAGAGACAGAGGTGGCTCCCTCCTTCTCAGCGTGTGGTCCATGGACCAAGAGCATCGGCATCTCCTAGGCACTTAGTACAAATGCAGAATCTGAGGCCCCACCCCAGACCCAATGCATTTTGATGAGACCCCCAAGTGAATTGGATGAGAAGCGCTGTCATAGAGGACTAAGTATCGTACACAGTTTCCTTTTCTTCCCCTTGCAGAACCCCTTAACCTCTGCTCATTTATGAAAATTGTTTCACCTGCCCCCATGTTGAGGCCTAGTTCAGACTCGCTTTGGTATTTGTGAAATGTCCTCACCTGTAATGTGTAGGCTGTTCCTCAAATTTATGAAGTGTTCTCAGGAACCAGTCCCTGCTTTAACAGGATGAGGAAGACTAGATAGGTGATTCCGTTTAGTTTCCCTTTATTATCCGACACTTCTGTCCCATTCCTTCCTGTGCTGCTCCTCCTCCCCTCCCCAAACACATACTGTCAGCATTTCTGATTGGTCCTTGCTTCTTCATGGCTGTGGTCCATCCTTTCTATAGAGACATGGAACCAGGTAAGCAAGCAGAGGGTGAGCTGCTTAATTTTCCTGACATGCTGATGTACTTACTGTCTTTTATGTCCTGTAGGACTTTTTATATAGATAGTAACACTTTAGGCCACTTTTAAACGAATCATGAGGAATACATGTCATGCTGGATCCTATAATCACAGTTTTTCTAGCTCAACTTGATGTCCAAGAGAAAGGGAAATATGGGAATTAGAACCACTTAATCAGAATAGTAGAAGCAGTGATTTTAGAGTATTGCTAATGTGTGATAACTGACTTACATTCAAAACACTGACCCTTTAAGTTTGTAATCTGAGTAATTAGCATATCCTTTCATATTCTGGAATCATACTGAGACGAGAAGAAGATAAAAGTGATCCCTAAAAGGACAGTATGCAAAGTTACATTTTGACCTTGTGCATGATTTTATGTTTTCAGTGTTCTGTGTACATATAGAATTGTTGAAGTTATTATTTCCAGTATTTATATTAGAAAAAATATATAGATACTTTATAATTTTAACCAGCATTTTTAATAACACTTGCACTTATTGTATTGTAATAAATTTCACTTTAAACACAAAAGAAAAGTTTACTTTAAAAGTCTTTTTTCTGATGTAGCCCTACTTAAAAGATAACAAAAAAGTGAGAATTTCTTGGTGTTCTGAAATAGACAGTTTTGAGTAATAATCTGCCCTGCAATAGAATAATAGCAATAAGAGTTAAGATTCCATTTTGAATGTCTAGTTGGCTTACAATAGCTTTTCCTAAGATGGAAATAGTGTTTAATTATGTTACCTTTTGCAAAAAAATGTCTTTGTTGCGTGCACAATAATCCAGGTAGCCTTAATGTGTAGCCTTAAAGCATTGCCTCTTGATTGTATTTCCAGAATAGAAAGTACTTGCCTATAGAATATTTGTAGCTATTCCCTAATAATGTAATGGTTTGTTGAAGTGGTAGATTATTCGATTTGCTCTATTGTCTGAAAACAGAGACATTCCGTCTCTTTTCCTAAGAACAAGGTCTGTCTTCCATTTTTGGAGCCCTTCCTATCCCCTAATGCCGTTAGGGCCCAGGTATACTCCTGTGAGGTTTGCTGGCCTCCTTTCCTGGATCAGGGCCCTTCTAGCCTTCTCTACCTCCTGGGGTTCTTCATATTCCAAAATCACCTACCTTCCTCCTACCAATCAGTTTTCTTAGTATAGCTGATACCATGTGGTGATCAGAAGAAAACAATCTGATCAAACTCCTTTCCAAGAAAGAATGAATGACTTGGGATCATCTTCCCCTCGTCTGAAACTCCCAATACCTGCATGATGCAGTTGCCACACAGTGCTGCAGCTGCATTTTTACAAGGCCATGCCTCAGAACCCAATGACTTTCACAGAAAATGGCAATGCTTCAAAGTAAAGTGGAAAAGCATCCCAACAATTTACAGAAGGGTAATGATGCTTTGGGGACAGGGGCAACCCTGTCACATTCACCCCTTCCTCAGGGTGAATTCTCAGCTGGTCCTGCTTTCCATAGTTGTTTCTTTTACTCCACTTATAAACCCACATATTTTATTTTATTGATTTTAGAGAAGAAGGAAGGGTGAGAGAGAGAGAGAAACATCCATTGGTTGACTCCTGCACACTCGCCCACCAGGGATCGAACCCACAACCTGGGAATCAAACCGCCACCTTTTGGTGCACAGGATGCTCCCACCAACTCAGCTGCACCGGCTAGGGCCTCAGATTGTTCTTACCATCTCCTCTTAGGTATTTTACCTCTGCGGTGTCTTCTTCATGAAGAGTCTTCCCGAGTGTAGCTGGAATGTTATATTATATAAATAACATTCCTCATGCTCTCAGGGAAATGCTTAGACGTCACAAAAATGTGCATTTCAAAGCTTGTAAAATTTACATTTTGCACCATAATTTAACTGAAATATTTATGAGGATGCTAGCGTTTTCCAAGCATAGTAATTAGGTCACAACTGAGAAATACTTCTGTAGATGAATATAAGTTGTGCAATTGCATTATTTCTTGACAGTCTGCCTCATGAAGTACCTTATTTGCAAAAATTCTGGTGTGTAATAGCTCATGACTTACTGGAGGAGAGCAGTGATACATGTGGCCCCAAACATAATGTGAAAAACCCAAGACTGCTTTAGAATACTTTATTATATATGTATGATGAGGATGATTACTTTTTAAATAAAACTTGTCATTTATACTTAAAAAAGACTTGTATGTACATTATTAAACTAACATGTTTGTGTTTTGCTTTGGGATACATTATATTTAGAAAAGAGACCAGCAGATTTATTTTCCCAGTGTTTTTGTTTGGGTAATCTTCATGTGAGTTCGACTAGTTTTGAGCCTATATTTACTGTAGTTGAAGCAAAGCAGTCCAGGAATGTGTGCTAACTAGAAGGAATCCAGTCCCTAATTATAGCTTTGCTGTGGCTAACACTCCTGGGTGGAGTTGGGTGTGGGGGACATGGTTAATCAAGAGTTTGCTGCATTGGAAAAGGGAGACAGACTCAACACTTAAAAAAAGTTCTGTACCTGTCCTGAAGAGTCTTCTTGTGCACTACAGAAAAGCACCGATGTACTAGTAAAATACTACTTAAGAAATAGTGTGTCCTTAGGCACTAAATGGGGGTAAGACTTGATGCTTTGCAGGTGGATTTAGGCAGCTAGATTAGGAAGAAACTGAGTTAGATATTTCTTTGTGTTGCCCAACCAAGTGTAAAGTTAAGTTTTTATAGAAATTTGATAAGACCAACATAACTGGAAAATGCCCATAAGAAGGAAGAGTTCCTAAGGAGATGTCTCGTCCAGGGCTTGTACATATGCATTTTCATTTATCGGGATGAATCTAGATACTTCATCTGGGGCTGAGAGTGAATGTGATCGGAGAAAGCATGTACCTACCTATTATTTAAAAATAGCATCTGGCCCTAGCCAGTTTGGCTCAGTGGATAGAGGGTCGGCCTATGGACCAAAGGGTCCCAGGTTTGATTCCAGTCAAGGGCACGTACCTTGGTTGCAGGCTCTTCCGGCGCAGGGGCGCATGCAGGAGGCAACCAGTTGATGTGTTTCTCTCACATGGATGTTTCTCTCTGTCTTTCCCTCTGTCTTCCACTCTCCCTAAAAACAAAACAAAACAAACAAAAAATCAATGGAAAAATATCCTTGGGTGAGGATTAACCAAAAAAAGTAAAAATAGCATCTGTTTTATATATACATAAATTTGGGGGCGGGGGGGATCAGCTAAATATGAATAAAAAAGACTTCAGTAATTATAACTGAGAAGTTACTTCTTTCTTTGTGCAAAGTAAATTTTTTAAGTTTTATCCTCTTTGTTTTTTGCAGAAATAGAAAACAAATGTCTGTTATTTTTTAAAAAAAAGTATTAAAGTTGGTGAAGAATTTACATTTCAAGCCTTTCCCCACATTTTTAAAAAGTAGAAAGTAAATTTCAATTCTTTTAGTTTTCCCTGTAGTCACCAGGCACAGAGCAAAATTAATAGATGACCATTTGAAATAATTATTCATACCATCTAATAAAAGACAAAAAGGGTAATTAACCATACCTCTGCTACGCTTCCCATTGGCTAATCAGGGCGATATGCAAATTAACTGCCAACAAAGATGGCGGCCGGCAGCCACGCAGCTGAAGCAAGCAGGAGGTTTGCTTGCTCCAGTGATGGAGGAAGCCAAGTATCCCCGCCTGCCGCGGCCCGGCTCTGAGCCCGAAAGCAACAATGTTTCAATTATAGAAGTTAAACCCCAGATACCTGCTTTCAGCTGGCCACGGCCTCAGAACTGGGAGCGCCAGTGACAGCAACAATGTTTCAATTATAGAAGGTAAATAAATCTCAGAATAAAAAAAAAGGAAAAAAAGGAGAGGCTGGGAGCTTCAGTCGCAGGCCAGCCTGAAAACGGCCCTCAGCCCCTCACCCAGACTGGCCAGGCACCCTAGTGGAGACCCCCACCCTAAAGGGGGTGTGGCTAGCCTGAAAACAGCCATCAGCCCCTCATCTAGGCTGGCCAGGCACCCCAGTGGGGACCCCCACCCTGAAGCAGGTGTGACCAGCTGCAAACAGCCATCAGCCCCTCACCCAGGCTGGCCAGGCACCCCAGTGGGACCCCCACCCTGATCCGGGACACCCTTCAGGGCAAACCAGCTGGCCCCCACCCATGCACCAGGCCTCTATCCTATATAGTAAAAGGGTAATATGCAAACTGACCCTAACAGCAGAACGACTGGGAATGACTGGTCACTATGACACACAATGACCACCAAGGGGTAGGCGCTCAATGCAGGAACTGCCCTCTGGTGGTCAGTGCGCTCCCACATGGGGGAGCTCTGCTCAGCCACAAGCCAGGCTGATGGCTGCCAGTACAGTGGTGGTGGTGGGAGCCTCTCCTGCTTCCTCAGCAGCGCTAAGGATGTCCAACTGCAGCTTAGGCCTGCTTCCCGCTGGCAAGTGGACATCCCCCCGAGGGCTCCCGGGCTGCCAGAGGGATGTCTGATTGCCATCTTAGGCCCAATTCCCCAGGGAGCAGGCCTAAGCCAGCAGGTGGTCATCCCCCAAGCGGTCCCAGACTGCGAGAGGGCACAGGCCGGGCTGAGGGACTCCCCCCCCCCCGAGGGCACAAATTTTGTGCACCAGGCCTCTAGTTTTTAATATTGGGCATATAGACAAAGAGGTCCTAATCTTAAGATTGCTTATTTAGAAAACATACTGAAAGACTTTGCACAGTATCTCTTCCCTGTTGATTATCTCACATCAAAATTGGATAATTATGGCTGTTTTATACACTTCCAAATTAATTACTAGATACCATTAAATAAAAAGTTGTATATTCAATTTTTCTTATAATAACTAAATAAAACCATCACTTTCTATATTACTAGTTTTGGAGACGACATTTCATTTTGGTTATGAAAATTTTACAAATTCCTTTGTCCCAAACCCATTTCTAAAGTTGGTTTATTAGAATGTGTGTGTGTTCTTATCCCAAAGATTCTCAACCAGACAGTTTGGGAATTGGATTGTTCCTCTTTCTCTGAGAGTATGCATACTTTCCTGGTCACATTTGGATTTTCCCACTCTTTTAAAACTGTAGTGAGATTTGTTATGGCTGCTGCTTATTTTAAACTCCCCTTCAGTTATTGAAGAAAACGATGTCAGTTTTTCTTTTTGCTTCTTTACAATTTAACAATACAGAATTATATTCTGTTTATTATTTTCATGCCCAGCACTAAGATAATTTCTTTTTTCATGAGTTCTCTATCAGCTCTCTCTTACTTTTCTCCCTTCTTTTGTTTTTTTACAGTCTCTTTTTATTTGTCGCCTTTAACCATTGCTTGCCTTTAAAAATAGGAACTGTATATAACCTGCTTCCTCTTGTGTTTGGAAAAAAAGCAATCTGCAAATGTCTAAAGCTCTTGGAAAAATAAAAACAAAACCATTCAACTGAAGCAAAGGAAAGAAAGAAGAGAAACCTTTCACTTAAAAGATATATGCTTTGGGAGTTGCCTGCTCAGTTAGGAATTTATGATCAGATCACCTGTGTGGTTACTTTTCATAGGACCCTTTTTTATATTCACACTAGAGGCCTGGTGCACAAAAATTTGTGCACTCGGGGGGAAGAGGGGATCCCTCAACCCAGCCTGTGCCCTCTCGCAGTCTGGGACCCCTTGGGAGATAATGACCTGCTCGCTTAGGCCTGCTCCCGGGTGGCAGAGGGCAGGCCTAATCCCTAGGTGCAGCCCCTGGTCAGGCTCAGAGCAGGGCCGGTTGGGGAGTTGGGGCGCCGCCCCCTGTCATGCACAGAGCAGGGCGGATTGGGAGGTTGTGATGCCACCCTCAGTCATGCTCAGGGTAGGGCCGATTGGGGGGTTGGGGCACCGCCCCCTGTCACACTCAAGGCAGGGTTGATGGGGAAGTTGTGGAGCCACCCCCTGTCACGCACAGAGCAGGGCCGATCAGAGGATTGGGGCGCTGCCCCCTGTCACTCACAGAGCAGGGCTCAACAGGGGGGTTGGGGCTCCGTACCCTGTCACACACAGAGCAGGACTGATCGGGGGGTTGGGGAGCTCCCCCCGTCACTCACAGAGCCGATAGGGGAGTTGGGGCACAGCCCCCTGTCACACACAGAGCAGGGCGGATCTGGGGGTTGGGGTGCCACACCCTGTCACACTCATGGCAGGGCCAATGGGGAGGTTATGGCTCTACCCCGTCACACACAGAGCAGGGCCCGTGGCGGGGGGAGGGTTGGGGTGCCGCACCCTGTCACACACAGAGCATGGCCCGTGGGGAGGGGGGGCGCCGCACCCTGTCACACACAGAGCAGGACTGATCGGGGGGTTGGGGAGCTCCCCCGTATCAGGCACAGAGCAGGGCCGATCAGGGGGTTGGGGCGCCTTCCCCTGTCACGAACAGAGCAGGGCCGATAGGGAGGTTGTGGCCCCGCCCCCTGTCACACACAGAGCTGCAAGGCGATCAGGGGGTTTGGGCGCTGCCCCCTGTCATGCTGATCCTGGTGCCGGGAGGCCTCGCGGCTCCGCTGATCCTGGTGCTGGGAGGCATATTACCCGTTTACTATATAGAATAGAGGCCTGGTGCACGGGTGGGGGCCGGCTGGTTTTCCCTGAAGGGTGTCCTGGATCAGGGTGGGGGTCCCCACTGGGGTGCCTGGCCAGCCTGGGTGAGGGGATGATGGCTGTTTGCAGCTGGTCACACATCCTTCAGGGTGGGGTCCCCACTGGGGTGCCTGGCCAGTCTGGGTGAGGGGCTGAGGGCTGTTTTCAGGCTGGCGGGTGACTGAAGCTCCCAACTGCTCCTTTTTTTCTTTTTCTTTTTTTATTCTGGGCCAGCTTTAGCTCTGAGGCTCCAGCTCTTAGGCCTCCGCTACTGAAAGCAGGTTTCTGGCCTTTGTTTACCTTCTGTATTTGAAACAATGTTGCGATCCTGCTGGCTGAAGCCCAGCAAATAAAGCAGGTTTCTGGGGTTTTGTTTAGCTTCTATATTTGTAACAAAGTTGCTTAGAGTTGCAGCTCAGAGGCCGGCAGCGGCAGGCAGGGAACGTTGGAGTCCTCCATCACTGAAGCAAGCAAGCCTCATGTTAGCTTCCAGCTGCCTGGCTGCCGGCGGCCATCTTGGCTGGCAGTTAATTTGCATATCTTGCTGATTAGCCAGTGGGAAGGGTAGCGGTCGTACGCTAATT